TCTCTTGACTTCAGCACTGCTTTCTTGCAGGGCAGCCTGCACGAGGAGATCTGGCTGCGCCGTCCGCCTGGCTTCACTGGGACTTTCCCTCCTGGCACCCATTGGAGCCTCCGACGGCCAGTCTACGGTCTCCGCCAGGCACCGCGTGAGTGGCACGACACACTGAGGACTACGCTTGCGGCTCTTGGGTTTGCTCCCTCTACTGCTGACCCGTCGTTGTTTCTGCGCACCGACACTTCTCTGCCGCCGTTCTACATCCTCGTGTACGCCGACGACTTGGTCTTTGCCACTGCTGACACTGCTGGACTCGCCTACGTGAAGTCCGAGCTTCTGAAGAGACACACGTGCACAGACCTGGGTGAACTGCGCAGCTACCTTGGCTTGCAGATCACTCGGGACAGAGCACGCCTCACCATTACCTTGACTCAGTCACACATGGTGCAGCAGGTCCTTCAGCGCTTCGGCTTCACGTACTCCTCGCCTCAGGCCACTCCTCTGGCTACTCGCCACTCGCTCTCAGCTCTGCCTTCGGATGAGTCCGTAGAGCCGAGTGGCCCGTACCCAGAGCTTGTTGGCTGCCTCATGTACCTGATGACCTGCACACGACCTGACCTTGCATACCCTCTTAGCATTCTTGCACGCTATGTTGCTCCTGGGAGACACCGACCAGAGCACATGGCTGCAGCAAAGAGGGTGTTGCGCTACTTGTGCAGTACGTCGGGCATGGGGCTAGTGCTTGGAGGGCGGAGTCCAGTGGTCCTCACTGGTCACGCGGACGCTTCTTGGGCTGACGACCAGGCTACGCAGCGGTCGTCGCAGGGGTACACCTTCAGTCTTGGTTCTGGCTCTGTCTCTTGGAGGGCTACTCGCTCGTCTTTTGTTCTCGGCTCCAGTTGTGAGGCTGAGATCTATGCCGGGGCCATGGCTGCACAGGAGCTTCGCTGGCTCACCTACCTGCTGATTGACCTTGGAGAGCCGCCTCGTTCTCCTCCAGTGCTGTACGTAGACAACGAGGCCATGCTGGCCTTGTGTCGAGAGCAGCGCTTGGAGCACAGAACGAAGCACATTGCTCTCCGCTACTTCCTTGCTCGTGAGCTGCAGCAGCGTGGTCAGTTGCGACTTGCGTACGTGGCCTCTGAGGCCAACACTGCTGATGTTTTCACCAAGGCACTTCCGCCTTGTGATCATCAGCGCTTCTGCACTCAGTTGGGACTTGTACCTGTCTTACCTCACTTGCTTACCTCTTGACCTTGCCTGTACTCTTGCATATAGATATACCTGCTCTTGCTTGTTTAGCCTTCTATATATATGCCTTCTCTTGCATGTGAACTGGCCTTTTTTGGCCTTGACCTTGTGCTCGGACTGTGTGGTGACTTTGTGATCCACCCTGAGCTTTGCTTTGCTTTGCTAGACTGGTCTTGTGACCCCTTGTTCTCCCCCACTTTGCCTATGGGGGTGTGTCAGATTTATATGACATAGTTGCTGTAGGCTATAGTGGGGTAGCACATATGGGGTACAGGTTTCTAGGGTTGTATTTGTACCCCATCTTTCCTAATCTGTTAGAGAAGCAGTTTATCCGACCGAGCTCGTCACCGTTCGCCGCACCGATACTGTTCACACCAAAAAAAGACGGAGGGTTTCGCATGTGCATCGACTACCGAGCGCTTAACAGGGTAACAGTCAAATCACGGTACCCCATCCCACGCGCTGACGAACTGATCGACCAGTTACGAACCGCACGGGTATTTTCGAAAATAGACTTACGAGGAGGTTACCATCAGATTCGGGTCGAACCATCGGACTGCGCCAAGACAGCATTTAGAACTAGGTACGGGTCATTCGAGTATACGGTGATGCCTTTCGGGCTGACCAACGCGCCCGCCACATTTCAAATGACCATGAACGAGGCGTTTAGGCCACTTTTAGATAAATGCGTGATAGTTTACCTTGACGACATTCTCGTTTACAGTCGGGACAAGCAGCAGCACTTAGTCGATCTCGAAGCAGTTTTTAAAATTTTAGCGGAACATCGGTTACTCACCAAGGGCTCCAAGTGCGAGTTTTTTCGGGACAGGCTAGAATTTTTAGGACACGTTATTTCGGAGGCTGGAGTTGAAATCGACCCTAAGAAGCTGGATACTGTCAACGCGTGGCGTCCCCCGACGAACATCACGGAACTGCAGAGTTTTTTAGGGTTCGTTAATTACGTCCGTCGGTTCGTCCCCGACATGGCACGCTTAACAGCCCCTCTCACAGATTTACTGCGTAAGGGGGTCGTTTTTATGTGGGGGGAGAAAGAGCATGCTGCCTTCTCTGCCCTGAAAACTGTTGTCTGTTCACCACCCGTCCTACGCATCGCTGACCCACATCGCCCCTTCGAGGTTGTTACAGACGCAAGCGACATCGCCATCGGAGCCGTACTGTTACAGGACTTCGGCAACGGCCTCCAACCCATCGCCTACGAATCACGCAAACTGCATCCGCCTGAGCGAAATTACCCGATACACGACCGCGAAATGCTCGCGATCGTGCATGCATTCAAAGTGTGGCGCTGCTACTTGACCGGCGCAGACGTGACAGTACGGACAGACAATCGATCCCTACAGTACCTCCGTGCACAGCCCCACCTCAACCCACGACAGATTCGGTGGCTCGACTTCCTCGAGTCGAACTTCCATTATATGGTCACCTATAAAAAAGGAGCCTCCAATATCGCCGACGCACTGACCCGCCCCACTGCCCAGATCCATGCGATACTACTCGCCCAGACCAGTCCGCTACTGACAGGACTATTTACCCACGGATATCAAACAGACCCATTCTTCACAGGAGGAAACTCGCACCAATTCGCAGCAGCCAAGGGAGTCTATTACGTAAAAGCTAGAACCGACCGCATCTGGGTACCAGGGTACACACTACTACGGGAATTACTGTTACAGGAGGCACACGACGGAGTTACCTCGGGACATTTCGGAGTAGAGAAAACACGGCAGCAGCTGCAGCGGTACTATTACTGGCCTGAAATGTTGACCGACGTGCAACGACACGTGGCATCATGTCCCACTTGCCAGCTCATGAAGTCAACCAGGAAGCGGCCGGCGGGACAATTACAACCAATCCCACCTCCAGAGCGTGCTTGGCAACAAGTGACGATGGACTTCGTCACGGGGTTACCAGCCGGGGCGAGTGGGAATGACGCGATCCTGGTCGTCGTCGATCGACTGACGAAAATGGCACACTTCGCAGCCTGCAAGAAAACAATCACAGCCGAGGAAACAGCCCGACTCTTCATCACCACCGTCGTTCGACTGCACGGGATACCAGCATCGATCATCAGCGACAGAGACACGAAGTTTACCAGCAATTTCTGGCGGAACCTGTGGCAGCAGTTCGGCACGCGACTACAATTCAGTTCATCGTATCACCCCGAAACCGACGGACACACAGAACGGACAAACCAGACCATGGAGCAGCTCATTAGGGCCACGTGCGACGACCCAAACACGTGGGAGCAGCAGCTGCCACTCATCGAATTCGCATACAACAACGCGCCATCTGCCACGACCCAACAGTCACCGTTTTACCTGAATTATGGACAAGACCCCACAGTACCCATGACCCCAAATCCCGACAACCCCGTTCCACGTGCGCAACAATTTGCCGAGATTTTGCAAGCACCACGGACCAGGGCAGCAGAAGCAATAAAAAAATCGAACATCATCGCCAAACGCAACGCCGACCGCCACCGCAGACCTGTCACTTATCAGCCCGACGACCTCGTTTTACTCGACACTCAAAACCTCCGCCTGCCCATCACTCCAAAACTCCGCCCCCGATACTGTGGGCCATTTCGAATTAGCCACATGATCACACCTGTCACCGCGCACCTCCTCCTCCCTGCTGACTGGTACGTCAGCCCCTCGTTCCACGTCAGCTTGCTTCGCCCTTACGTACCATCCACCGGCCAACTCCCACGACACCGACCATCCAGCATGGCACGACCACCATCCGAACCAATCATCACCCCCGACAAAATCCTGAGTCACAGATTTCGCGACCCCCGAGGAGCCCGAAAGATCGAGTTCCTGATCCGCTGGAAAGACCGTACACCTACCGAGGACAACTGGGTTCCCCTGGACAGAATTGAAAACCACCCTGTCCTCACCGAATATCTGCGCAGCCGAAACTTCAAAGATGTCCACACACTTTCGTAAGAAGGACCTCCTTAGGAGGGGGGGGGTAGTGTAAGGAAAATCCCTTTTCCTTACTTCGCATCCCTGCTCAACGCGTACATCACTGTAGCACCTCAGTCAGCACCGTTACCACTCGCGATCATCGCATCGACAATCATCCCGCCATTTTTCGCACATCGCATCCCGACCTCACGGCTCGGCTGGTAACCCGCGCTCCGGGCCTACGCCTCGACACTTTCCCAACCTCAGTCCCAGGCTCGTCGCGCGACTACCACAGACCATTACCGTTACCACTGTAGTTTCGCTATATATTCTTCGCTCACGCCCTCGCTCATTGTATTCTTGCTTCGATAGTGCAATTCTCGTTCGTTCACTCAATTGCACTCGTAACAGTCAGATACATTTTACTGTGATTGGTCAAGACCTTTGTGCTCTGACAGCTCAAATCTGTTGTGTCAGGGCCATTTCGCTGTGGTTGGGCAAATTCGTTGCTCCGTACGGCGCGAATTCGCTCTGTCAACGCGAATTTTTGATGACGCTGGTGCTGTGACCAGTCAAGACGGGTTTGACTCACCAGTTTGACCCTCACTAGTGAGTGATGAAGACTCACTTTATGCTTCACCACTCACTCGTGAGGGTCGAGATTCTCAATGGTGGTGGGTGCATCGGAACGAAATTTAAAACCCGTAGCATGAATTACAAAAACTGTTGGGGGTGTTAAAGCCCAAGACCTGAATTACAAAAAAAAAAAAGGGCAAACTGTGCACACTTTGCCTCCCGAACCCAAAGTTGACCTCCCGAGCCAGGATGGTAACCAGAAAACGTCGCATCCCAAGAAGACTGAGTCGTAGAGCAGAACGCGTCCGCTTGGCGAGAGTTCCAACCACCCTTTCCTGAAGGAGGAAGGGAACTGCCTATGCACAGTTTGCCGAACAATGGTAATTCAGGAATGCTTGTGCGGCTATTACGCGAAATGCAAAGCTCTGTCAGCGGCATAGGCAGGACCTTCAACCCCGTTGCAACACTTGCTTTGCCCTCATCCCAAGATTAACATGCGCGAAGCGTGTCCTTTTTCCACGTCGAAATTAGTGCCGTGAAAGGTAATTTAGCTATCCCCTCACATCGTCCACCCCTGTGAGAGTACGACGGCTTAATGCTAGCTATGCTTGCTTGCCTCTACTTTATCATGCTATTTCTAGCATAGGATAATCATATGCATGCATGAATTGCTTGATTTCCTAGGCTAGGTGCTTTCCTATATTTTATTATAGTTATAGCACCGAGCTAGGTTGCGTGCACCGAATTCTGGCTTTTCGGTTGCCACCGAATTGCCTTCTACCGAATTCGGTAAGGATCTGTTCGGGACGCTTCGCGACCCGCGGAACCTTCGCGTAACACCTGGTTACGGGGCCTTGTGTCGAGCCTATATATAGCCTCGTGTTGTACCCAGGTGGACATTCAATTCAATTTGAATCATCTTTTCTGAGCTCGATCCCAGATCCTCACACTTGACGCACCGTCGCCCTCGCATCCCCCGTTTCCCCGTCGCCCTTGCCCTCCCAACGCCCTTACCCCGGTCCCCTCTCGTCGATTTCTTGTCAACGTCGTGGGGCCACATTCCGACGCTTCGTACACCACTCCGCGCTCCTCTCCCCTCACGGCGCGCGCTCCTCTCGCCTCCCCGCGCGCGCTCCTCTCGCCTCCCCGCGCGCGCTCCTCTCGCCTCCCCGCGCGCGCTTCTCTCGCCTCCCCGCGCGCGCTTCTCACGCCTCCCCGCGCGCGCTTCTCTCGCCTCCCCGCGCGCGCTCCTCTCGCCTCCCCGCGCGCGCTCCTTTCGCCTCCAGCGCCGCATCTTCCCACCTCCCCACGCGCGCTTCTCTTGCCTCCCCGCGCGGCCTCCTCTCACCATCGCCAGCGTGCTCCGCTCGCCATGGCCTCGCGTGCTCCTTTCGCCTTGATAGCGCGCGATTCTGTCGCCTCCCCGCGTGGCCTCCTCTCACCATCCCGCGCGTGCTCCTCTCGCCTCCCCTCGCATGAGAGGCGAGCCTTTATAGCGCGCGCTTCACTTGCCTCCCTGCGCGGCCTCCTCTCACCTCCCCGCGCATCCTCCTCTCGCCGCCTCACGCGTGCTTCTCTCGCCTCCCCGCGCGAACTCCTCTCGCCTCCCCTCGTGTGCACCTCTCACCCCCCCTCTACCGCCCCTCTTGCCTCCCCGTGCAGCCTCCTCTCACCTCCCTGCGCGTGCTCCACTCGCCTCCCCTCGCGTGGTCCTCTCACCTCACCTTGTGTGCTCCTCTCGCCCCCCCACGCGTGCTCCTCTCTCCTCATCTTGCGTGCTCCTCTCGCCTCCCCACGCGTGCCCCTCTAAGATGCGTGAGGGGCTTCACCTCCCGTCTCCTCACTGCCTCTCTGCATCTCGCGACAGCCTCTGTTCGCGTCGCTGATCGCAAATATTGCCCTTGGCCCCTGCTCACACTCTTGCAACGGCTGTGCTTCCGCATCCCCTCTGCACGCCCTCTTTCCCCCTCTTCCACGCCCTCATTTCCCACCCTGCTTGCCCACGTTCCCCACCTTGCAGTCCCTCACAAGCCCTCGGTGCAGGCCCTCTCGCCTCCCGTGCTCCACTCTGGAATGTGGGACGCTCCTCTCTCCTCACCTCCCGTGCTCCCCTCTGACAGGTGGGGTGCTCCTCTCTCCTCACCTCCCGTGGTCCACTCTGACAGGGCATGGTGCTCCTCTCCTCTCGCCTCCCGTGCTCCACTCTGAAATGTGGGACGCTCCTCTCTCCTCACCTCCCGTGCTCCCCTCTGACAGGTGGGGTGCTCCTCTCTCCTCACCTCCCGTGGTCCACTCTGACAGGGCATGGTGCTCCTCTCCTCTCGCCTCCCGTGCTCCACTCTGGAATGTGGGACGCTCCTCTCTCCTCACCTCCCGTGCTCCCCTCTGACAGGGGGGTGCTCCTCTCTCCTCACCTCCCGTGCTCCCCTCTGACAGGTGGGGTGCTCCTCTCTCCTCACCTCCCGTGGTCCACTCTGACAGGGCATGGTGCTCCTCTCCTCTCGCCTGCAGTGCTCCACTCTGGAACGTGGGACGCTCCTCTCTCCTCACCTCCGTTGCTCCACTCTGGAATGTGGGAAGCTCCTCTCTCCTCACCTCCCGTGCTCCCCTCTGACAGGGGGGTGCTCCTCTCTCCTCACCTCCCGTGCTCCCCTCTGACAGGTGGGGTGCTCCTCTCTCCTCACCTCCCGTGGTCCACTCTGACAGGGCATGGTGCTCCTCTCCTCTCGCCTCCCGTGCTCCACTCTGGAATGTGGGACGCTCCTCTCTCCTCACCTCCCGTGCTCCCCTCTGACAGGTGGGGTGCTCCTCTCTCCTCACCTCCCGTGCTCCCCTCTGACAGGTGGGGTGCTCCTCTCTCCTCACCTCCCGTGGTCCACTCTGACAGGGCATGGTGCTCCTCTCCTCTCGCCTCCCGTGCTCCACTCTGGAATGTGGGACGCTCCTCTCTCCTCACCTCCCGTGCTCCCCTATGACAGGGGGGTGCTCCTCTCTCCTCACCTCCCGTGCTCCCCTCTGACAGGTGGGGTGCTCCTCTCTCCTCACCTCCCGTGGTCCACTCTGACAGGGCATGGTGCTCCTCTCCTCTCGCCTCCCGTGCTCCACTCTGGAATGTGGGACGCTCCTCTCTCCTCACCTCCCGTGCTCCCCTCTGACAGGGGGGTGCTCCTCTCTCCTCACCTCCCGTGCTCCACTCTGGAATGTGGGACGCTCCTCTCTCCTCACCTCCCGTGCTCCCCTCTGACAGGTGGGGTGCTCCTCTCTCCTCACCTCCCGTGGTCCACTCTGACAGGGCATGGTGCTCCTCTCCTCTCGCCTCCCGTGCTCCACTCTGGAATGTGGGACGCTCCTCTCTCCTCACCTCCCGTGCTCCCCTCTGACAGGGGGGTGCTCCTCTCTCCTCACCTCCCGTGCTCCCCTCTGACAGGTGGGGTGCTCCTCTCTCCTCACCTCCCGTGGTCCACTCTGACAGGGCATGGTGCTCCTCTCCTCTCGCCTCCCGTGCTCCACTCTGGAATGTGGGACGCTCCTCTCTCCTCACCTCCTCTTGTGCAGCCAACGGGCTTGCCCCCGCAGGTTCAAAATGCGAAAGAACGGTCGGGAATATCTGAGTTTGAGGAGCGATATGCCAAGCAGCATCGTGTGCTTGACGCTTGGGCGCGACATTGGCTCGGATTGTCGGATGAGGAGGGCCCCGGGAGTCAGGGAATTAGTGTGGGGAGCATTCTGATGGTGTGCTTGGGAAAAAACACGGAAGAGGATTCTCAAGGTCACCCTAAGGAGATTGATTTTGGGATGAGGTCAAACGATGCTAGGTCAATTGTCAATGTGGCCACGCAAGAGTCTGGAATTTATTGATTGTTAGCAAGGGAGAGATGGTTATCGGGTACGATTTACACTGTACATGTGTTCCTCTTTTTACACAGACTGCAATAGTTTGACATGTGGTTGGATGACCATCCAGCTATGATGGATAGATCAATGAAGAAGCCCTAGGTATGTTATTTGATGGGGAAGGACATGTTTCACTTCTTAGCTTCTAGCCATCGGGGAGCGCGTTGCGTCATTTGCCTCCACTACTTGTGAAAAAACGGCATGCTCACGTGCACGGTATTAGTGTGAGGCAAGCACACGCTTAGAGTTACACGTGAACACGTGTAGGTGCAGTGATGAATGGGGCTGATGGTGACTTGGCTGATGCCCAACGCTGCTTGCCCTAGCCCTTGCGGATCTGAGCACAAAGAGAGGCGGGAGGGTCGAGACAGGTGGAGAAACAAGTAAACAAAAAGTGGAGAGGTGGAGACAGGTACTACGGAAACAAGTTTACAAAAAATGGTGCGTAGTGCATGTATCAGGCCAAACAGAGTGTGTCTCAGTGTAGTGCATGTGGGGCGGACAGAGCAGCCACGGCGAGCGGAACGTGCACTACGGACAGCATGAGCAATGCAGAGCAGACAGTGCAATGACTCACCTCCCGTGTGAGGTCTCGGCCACTCTCTTCACAGATATGCAGCATGCTCTCCGTTGGCTGACATGCAGGGGGGGATAGGAATGTGGGACAGGAGAGAGGATGGGATAGGCAAGGGAGGGGAACGGGACTGAACCAGTATTGGGAGCTGGTGAGTGGTGTTGCTGGCCGAAAGGTGTCTGCGTGCTGGAATGAGGAGGCAAGGAGGGCAGGGTTGAAGGAGGAAAGATTGGAATGGAGGAATCAGATATATGGAACGACAGGTAGGGAAATGAGGAACGACAGGAAGGGAAATGAGGGCGGATGGGAGGAAGGGAGGATGGGAGGAAAGGTGGATGTGAGGAAGGGGGGATGAGAGGAAGGGAGGATGAGGAGAGAGGATAAGAGGAAGGCCGGATGGGACAAAGGGAGGATGAGAGGAGGAGGGGATGAGAGGAAGGGTGGACGAGAGGAAGGGAGAATGAGAGGAGGGGAGGAAGCGAGGAAGGGCGGATGAGAGGAAGGGAGGATGATAGGAAGGGTGGACGAGAGGAAGGTTGGATGAGATGAAGGGCGGATGAGGGGGTGGGAGGACGAGAAGACGGGTGGACAAGAGGAAGGGTGGATGATAGGGAGGGCGGATGAGGGGGGGGGGGGGGCGGAAGTAGGGGAGAGAGGACGAGAGGAAGGGAGGACGTGAGGAAGGGCGGATGAGAGGAAAGGAGGACGTGAGGAAGGGGGGATGAGAGGGAAGGAGGACGAGAGGAAGGGGGGAAGAGGGGAACAGAGGATGAGATGAAGGGCGGATGGGGGGAAGGGAGGATGGGATGAAGGGCGGATGAGGGGGAGGGCGGATGATGGGGAGGGAGGACGGGAAGAAGGGTGGATGAGAGAAAGGAGGATGTGAGGGAGAGACGATAAGAAGGTGAGAGGATGAGAGTGTGAAGGGCGGATGTGAGGAAGGGCGGATGAGAGGAAGGGCGGATGAGAGGGAAGGAGGATGAGAGGAAGGGAGGATGAGAGGAATGGAAGGGGAGAGGAAGGGAGGATGAGAGAAAGGGAGTATGAGAGAATGAGAGAATGAGAAGGAGAGAGGATGGGAGAGAAGGGCGGATGAGAGGAAGTGCGGATGTGGGGATGGGAGGATGACAGGAAAGGAAGATGAGAGGAAAGGAGGATGAGAGGAGGTGGGATGAGAGGAAGGGAGGACGAGGGGAACAGAGGATGAGATGAAGGGCGGATGTGGGGAAGGGAGGATGAGAGGAAGGGCGGATGAGGGGGAGGACGGATGAGGGGGAGGGAGGACGAGAAGAAGGGTGGACGAGGGAAAGGAGGAAGAGAGGGAGAGACGATGAGATGGAGAGAGGATGAGAGCGCGAAGGGCTGATGAGAGGAAGGGCGGATGAGAGGGAAGGAGGATGAGAGGAAGGGGGGATGAGAGGAATGGAAGGGGAGAGGAAGGGAGGATGAGAGAAAGGGAGTATGAGAAGGAGAGAGGATGGGAGAGAAGGGCGGATGAGAGGAAGGGCGGATGAGAGGAAGGGCGGATGTGGGGATGGGAGGATGACAGGAAAGGGAGATGAGTGGAAAGGAGGATGAGAGGAGGGGGGGATGAGAGGAAGGGAGGACGAGAGAAAGGGAGTATGAGAAGGAGAGAGGATGGGAGAGAAGGAGGAAGGGTGGATGAGAGGAAGGGCGGATGCGAGGAAGGAAGCAGGGCAGGAGGATGCGAGGAAGGGTGGACGCGAGGAATGGTGGATGATAGGGATGGCGGATGAGGGGGGGGGGGGCTGAAGTAGGGGAGGGAATACGAGTTGAGGGGAGGACGAGATGAAGGGCGAATGAGAGGGAGAGACGATGAGAAGGAGAGAGGATGAGAGCGTGAAGGGCGGATGAGAGGAAGGGCGGATGAGAGGAAGGGCGGATGAGAGGAGAGGAGGATGAGAGGGAGGTTGTATGAGAGGAAAGGAGGATGAGAGGAAGGGGGGATGCGAGGAAGGTTGGATGAGAGAATGGAGGATGAGATGAAGGGCGGATGAGGGGGAGGCTGGATGAGGGGGAGGGAGGACGAGAAGAAGGGTGGATGAGAGGGAGGGCGGACGAGGGGGAGGGCGGATGAGGTGGAGGGCGGATGAGGGCGCGTGGCGAAAGAAGGGTAGGGAGGACGAGTGGAAATGAGGACGATAGGAGGGGCGGATAAGAGGGAGAGAGGATGTGAGAGAAGGGCGGACGAGAGGAAGGGCGGATGAGAGGAAGGGAGGATGGAGGGAATTGTGAGCGACAGGTAGCGAAATGTGGGCGATGGGGAGGGAAACGAGGGCGACGAGAGGGGAAATGAGGGCTACGAGAAGGGAAATGTGGGCGATGAGAGGGGAAATGAGGGCGCAGGGAAGGGAAATGTGGGCGACGGGGAAGGAAATGAGTGCGACGGGAAGGGAATTTAGTGCGATGGGCAGGGAAACGAGGGCGACGGGGTGGAAATGTGTGAGAGGGGACGGGAAATTAGTGCGACGGGAAGGGTAATGTGGGCGACGGGAAGGGAAACGAGGGCGACGGGAAGGGAAGTGAGTGCGACGGGAAGGGAAATGGGGCGACGGGAAGGGATTTGTGGCCGACGGGTTCGGTAATGTGGGTTCTCGGGAAGGGAATGGAGGGCGACCGGACTCGGGAAGCGTGGGCGTCTCGAAATATTGGATACGAGGGCGACGGGCCGCGAAATGCGTGCGACGGGAAGCTGAAATGTGGGCGACGGGAAGCTGAAAATGAGGGCGACGGGGGGCTGAGATGAGCCCGACGGGAGGCTTCTCACCATGCGCTATGTGAAAGGCAGGCGCTCGCAAACGGGGGACCGTGAGGGGCAGGGCGGAAGGCTTGATGCTGGGGGCGCCTCGAGCGCGTGGGAATCTAAGCTGCACCGAGTGGTGGCGTAACAAGGCTATGTGGGGCGCCCCGTCTCATACGTCCGCCCTGTTCCCTATTTGTTGAGGGCGTTGTCCTCAACACCCTAAAAATCGCGCCTTTCCGGGTCCATCAACACGGACATTCGCTCCTAATGGCTCCTTCTCGTTTTTCTAGAAGCTAAGGCCGCGCCTGGCTGAAGGGGACTTAGGACTAGTTATGTTTGTTCGAGTGCCTGTCATTCCCTATTCAAACTGTGCACACTTTCCCTTCGCGTGCTTCTCAGGTTTGTCGAACTTGGGAAGATGGGCCTTGTGTGCCATGTTTGTTCCAACCAATCAGCAAGTGCACAGTTTGTGGCGAACTGTTTTCAGTCGCAAGGTGGTTTTGCTTTTTCGCGTGTCACTCAACCCATTCGAACCTCCAACTGGCAGCCCGCCGAACCTAGAAATACTCAGTTGACTTCCGTTGAGTAATTCAGGTCTTGGGCTTTAACACTTTCCCTCCCGAACCTAGGTGGTTACAAGGGTTCGAACCAGTTTGCCGTGAGGAAGTCGCACGCAACACAGGGAAGGATCGCAAGGGTCCCTGACAACGACTTCGGCTATGGGTGTGCATACCAAGCAGGAAATTGTAATTCAGGTCGACAGAAATCGACCAGTTCCTAGCCTAAAAATAGCATGGCGTTCTGCTTAGACCTGGCCTTTTCTCTCCAACTAGTGCAGTCTCAATCGCGATCCGTGCACATTAGGGTTACTCCCTCCGTCGCCTACGCTCATCCCTCCCGTCGCGGATTCATTTTCTCAACCGTTTGCAACACTCACTTCCCTCCGTCGCCTTCGCTCTTTCCGCTCCATCGTCCCCTCTATCACGATAAAGCGGGGGGGGAGGGGGGGAATGATTACGCACATGGTACGCGCTGGCTGTAGTGCAACCAATCCGAAGGGGGGGTTATCGGAAGAAGATTTCCTCGAAACTTCTTCTCGATAAGGTCAAATTCAGGGACCACAGATTCGATACTCTGTACAGTCAGACTCCGGAAACGAGTAAGTCTGAAGCCTATTACATGTAATCAGGGGCCCCAAAACATTAAGTCTGATGCATTCAGTGATGAAAATTATACTAGTCTGGAAATCCATTTTCCACCAAGTGAAAGGTCGGATTCGTCAGACTAATCAGACTAAATAGTCTGATAGCGTCAGCCCTGACTACGGGCCTAGCGCCGAGGTTGGGAATTGTGGAGGCGGAGGTCCGGAGCGCGGGTTACCAACCGAACCGTGAGGTTGGGTCGCGGCGTGAATAGTGGTGGGAACAGTAGTCGAGGCGAGTGTTGCAAGTGGTGACGGTGCACTGTTGAGAACTGTTGGCAAGGACAGTGGCGTACGCGCTGAGCAGGGACCCGAAGCAAGGAAAAGGAATTTTCCTTACCGTACATTTTCACACATAAGACGCAGAACTTCATTCATTTGTTAATTCATTTGTTCACATTGCGGAAGGCGCCCCAATGCACTGCTAGATTCCTTCCCCTCTGTTCTAGAGTCCATTAGCCACCCAGCATCTACTACTGCCCCGCTGACCATACAATAACCTGATGTACAGTACAGAAACATGGAGTACAGTAACTAAGGTACACAACCCAAACCCAGAAGCCAGAAGCCAGATGCATAAACCGCCACCACGGCCATGTACAATAGCCTAACCATAGCCTCGAGCCGTTGTGGCGGTCAATCAGCCACGAGGCGACTGAGGGACTCAATGATTTGCCTCAGGTGGTCCCGCGTGCTGGGGTCGCCTGTGAGGCTACTGATGTCAGCACTGATGCCCTGCCATATGCAGATTGAGCAGAGCAGGGAGGGCACGAGAGGGAGAGGGGGGTGTGGGAAATGAGGGGATGCAGGCAGATAGGACATGTACAGCCACACATGGTGATGAGCGAAGAGTGGACAGCGATAGGGAGGGCAAGGGGGGGACTGAAGGATGAACAGAGGTGAAGGAGTGCCAATCCTAACATATCTGTCCATTTGATACCTCCCAAGCATTCACCACACTACAGGAAACCTCTCTCAAAGAAAACTGTTCCAAGCTTATTTTCTGCCCCGTGCTTTGATGCTTTGATAAGGATTGCGGCTCAAGCAACACATGCAGGCTTGTGGACAGCGAACCATCGAAACAGACACACACAGCACGAGCAGACCGGCCCACCGAGGAACACACCTCAACGAACTGCAGCGTCTTAGTGAGTGCGAATGGACACTGATTCGACTATAATAACGTATCACCATCCAAACAGCCACACAAGAGCAGTCAGGCCACTCAAACAACACGTCTCGACGTGCTTGAGCGTCTTGGTGAGTGTGGACACTGACTGCAGCAGGTGACTTTTAAGCGGACTGAAAACCCAACAGTCACACACATGAGCAGGCACGCTCACTCAGACGACTCACCTCGACGTGCTTGAGCGTCTTGGTGAGTGTGGACACTGACTGCCGCAGCAGCTCCGTGTTCTCCTTGGTTAAAATAGAGCTGTTCAGCTGCCTGTAAGGGGAAGGCACAAGGAAAGGGCGGATGAAATGGAATGGAGCGATTGAGGGTTGGGATGGCAAAGAGCAGCAAGGTGGCAGCAGCTCTGCGTTCCTCCTCGGACAGAATGGCGCAGTTCAGCTGCCTATGGAAGGACTTGGCGTGCGAGGAGAGGGAGACGCACAGGAGAGAGGGGTGTATGGAGCGATGGAGGTTTGGATGGCAGAGAGCAGCACCAAGCAAGCATCCAGCCAGCACAGCACAACACAGCTCTCACCTGAGGTCGGAGGCGGCATCAGAGGCCACCTTGGTGAGCTGCTCGAGGTTCTTCAGCAGGTCCCCCTCGCGCACGTCCTGCAGCATGGGCTCTATGTCCGTCATCAGCCCGTTCACCTGACAGACACATGGTCAAAGGCCAGGGGGGAAGGCATGGAGGACATTATGCTACACCTAAATGCCACAATCATTCCGTTGACCTCGAGGCTAAACAACAACGTACTGTTCTCCTGTATATTGTTTGAGTGAATTACAAATGAATACCCGTAGGACCAAGTTTTGTGATACAAGTGCTACACAACAGAAGCAGCAGTAGATAGTAAACGACTTGAAGATAATCGATAGGCAAACTGAATCAGAGAAGGATGGGTCGTGGAATGAAGAATTGAAATCTGGCTGAGGGGAAAGGGAGCGCTGACCATATATCATCCAGACCAAGATACAATAACTTGCCTTTTCCAGCAGCGGTCTTGCTTCTTCAGCCAGAGCAGCGAATTTATCCATAGCAGCGAACATGGTCCCAACTCCCTCTTTGTCCACATCCTTGGCAATCTTTGTCCAATTCGCAATCAACTCATCCAAGCTCACGCCCTGCTGGCCCTCTATCCGCTCCCTGTCACACACAATCAACCCCTCCTCGCTACACTTGGGATCCAACGGTCCTACTGTGGGTTCCGGCATGGGAGGCATGGGGGTGATGTCGATGAGGGTTTCGCTGATCAGGCCCGTCTGGTTGACTTCGATAAGCGAGTTTCGCGGAATGACGACGTTGGAATCGAGGATTTCCACGACAGCGTCGATTCGCTCGAGGCTCGGCCTCACCCCGACCACACTCCCCACGTCCACGCCTCGGATCCGAACCGGAGTGCCGACCGTGATTCCGCAGGCTTGGGAGAATTCCATCACCGCTTTGTACCGCGTCGTGCTGGACCGTACTTGAACGCCCTTAATCCAGTTGATCGTCAGGCCGATCAAGAATAGTCCGGTCAGGAGAAACAACCCAACGCCTCCTTCCCAGATGCTCTTTTTTCCAAAACCAAAATTTCCGAGCGGGCTGACAATGTATTCTTCCCAGATGGACGAGAAGAAATCGATCAGAGCAGAAAAAGGGTTCCCTTTATTGGGCTCCGACGCAGGAGCGGAGGCAGCGGCAGCGCTCGATGCAGTCACGGTTCGGGTTCGCGGTCGACCGGCTTCGATACTGTCACATTGGAACGGTGTACCGCGGTGAAGGGGGAGTGGGGAGCATTGCTCTTGATGCCGAGGAGACGAGAAGCCGCGAAAAGATGTAGAAGTGTCACGTGACGGTAGCCATGATGCGGTTGCTCTGCTATTTGCTCGTTCTACATAAGCGCCTGATAGCGTTGGAACGTTGCATCGTGCAAGAATGGCTGAGTTAGCCATTGTCTGATGGAATAAAGCCTGGTCAGCTCGACGCAGATTTAGGTTAGTCTTATTCCGACGAGAGGCACATCGGCCAGTCTCTAAAAAAATCCAACAAGCCTGCACTTTCCAGGTCACATAAGAGAGTTACTAGGTTTGTTCAATGGATTGGCCACCAGACAACGGCTATGAGGCAAGCCGAACAGAGCATGAAATGGAAGCTTGCCTGACGTCAACTAGCAGCCATTCTCAAGAGTTAGTTTGATCATCTCCAAATGGATCAATGCGAGGGCGGGACATAAAGTCGGTTTGCAGTTCGTATTTGAATGTTCAGGCCGTTGAATAGCGGTTCAAAGCGGTGAACAAGAAAACCGTTCCAGGGTGCACAGCATCGCACTTATGGGGAAGGGGTGCAGGTCGGTTGGCTGGTGGGTTCAAAATTGGAAATTGTGGAAGTTGGTTTCGCTAGGCCAGTTGGCCAACAGTAGCAAATCAGTGCTCGCCAAATGATTTGGTCCAAATCAACGCTGGAGCACCAAGAGAAATGCCTACTGGATGTGGAGGTTGGAGGGCGGTTGCACAAAAAATGGAATTGTTGCTGGACTGATTTGTGCTTCTCTTAGACTGACTGAACACCTTTTTCGGCTGGAATATTACTATTCCCAAGTTACACAACACAGAAGCCTTGCGGCAGGCATTGCAGGTCAAAAAATATGCACAATTATCCTGACATGCACTCTTCACCCCAAAATTTTCCAGTCTTGTTCCCATTCTTGAGGCCATGTAGGCTCTAGATCAAGACCAGCTTCATCATGTGATGGAAGAGCAAGTGCTCCTTCATTGTTGATTGTTGTAGCAGCAGTGCCACCTTCATCATCCGTACCACTCACTGTTGTATCGGCAAATTGACTTCCTTGCCCAGAGGGACATGCTTCAAGGTCTGATAGGGTCACCGATGGGGCAGATGCACCAGTTACAGCCAGCGGCCAGGAAGAATGCTGCTCTGTGAATCCCAACGCATGTGCCGGAGGAAGTGACAGAGCAGACATTTGGCCCCCTCCACTTGCATCTTGACCAGCAGCTTGAGCTGTTGATGCAATTGGTAGCTGCGGCATGGAGACTGAATGGTGCAGCGTGCCCACAGAAGCCGGCATGCTGGGGGCTGGAGAGCCCACGACAGTCCCATGGGAGGTCATTGGGTTCCACATTGATGTTTGTTGATGACCGAATGCTGGCTGCATGCCAGAAGATGCCGCCACCATACTGCCGCCAGCAGGAACACCAATGGGAATAGCTGAACCAGGCCCCGTGGATGGACGGTAGCCCATGCTTGTTGCAACATGGGCCCAGGAGCCTGGCGGATACGATGACACTTGAACTGGAGAAACCCCCATGGAATAAGGAGAGTGAGGCATTCCCATGGATGGAGGGCGAGGCTGGAGTGGAGATGCCCCTGTTGCCACAGGGACAGATCCAGGAGGGTATCCAGGAACCACCGGCCCAGAGGACACTGGAACCCCCACTGCAGTTGATCCAGGATGAAGAGAGTTGAGTGACATTGAGTGAGGTCGATGCGTTGGTGGAGATGTACCAGGCGAGTAAGATGCGAACTGTGATGATCCGGCGATCATTGTGTGCATGCCTGAAGGTGAAGCAGTTGTCATGACCATTCGTGGCAGACATGATGCCTGAGAAGAAAATATATAAAAAAATATGGTCAGAAGTCATAGGAGGTTATACGCATCACAAAGTGCAATAACTGAACCGATTGATGCATTACTTGTTGGATCGGGGAGCCGCTGGTCATTGTTGCAGGGCGCATGGCAATGGTCCCAGGATACATTGCACTTGATGTGGGATACCCAGCTGGAGCTCCAGACACAACCATGGTCGGATGTGATCCGTTGTACGATCCAGGTTGCATATACATTGGACCGGTGCCACACACTGAAGGGTTTGCATGCAATGCTCCGTGATGGCTTGGGCCTTGAAACACCATGAAATCCGGAGGTAGTCGAGCTCCAGGCGGAAGCCCGGCCATCCTCTTCAGATACAGACGGTATTTCTGAAATACAGAGAAATGTGGAACTGTTACGTCAGACGCTAATTCAAGATCAAGATCTGAATCAGAAAAATAAATCGTGTGCACGAACCTGCAAATGACTCGCCACGTTCTCCCGGGTCATGCCTTCGACATTCATGAGCTTCAAGATCGTGGTGGGAACTGCATCTGCAAGAAGAGAAGGGTCATTAGGTGGCTGAATAACGAAAATAACGTCTTGCAAAATGAGGAGGCAATGCCATTAAAGCTCACTCTTGACCCCCAGATGGTTGACTGCACTCATAAAACGCGAGTGCAGCTCTGCTGTCCAGACAAGTCGTGGCTTCTTCGCCGTCCTGACACTGGTTCCTTCCATGTCGCCCTCTGAAGCTTCAACTCCTTCAGTCGGTTGATCCGTCCCAGTCGTCTCTTTAGTCCGGTTGCCTTTCGACTCGTCCTCAAGTCCGGCACTTCGTCCAGAAGCTTCCATGCGATTTGACGGTTCAGTATTCCCGGTGCTCGCAGCAGGTTCATCCTTGACCTTCGTATGCGGCTCTTCAACGCTTGTCTTATGCTCTCCTGGTTTCTCGTCGTGTGCGACAAGCTGGCTTCCATCAGGACACATCTCCGTCGACCGCTGGTCTGCATCGCTCCCTTCAACAGGGCTAGTTTGAGTTTCTGCCTCGTCACTCGACCTCGATATCACAGGTAGAAGCGCTTCATCGGCTGACCTCTTGCAGCTCAAGGTTTGCTGTTGAGTACTGCACATTCCCTCCAACCTGATGGCAGAAATCATGGATACAACAAGAACAAGAAACTTGGCTGCAGTCAGAAAGTGGCATGAAGAGAGGGGAGCGGCGATAAACGAGCAGCTCAACGCTGTAGCTCCCTTACCTGAATCCCAAACGGTCTCCAGTTTCCTATCTCACGCATTCTGGTGCAATTTGGCAGGTGATGGCCATGTCAAGGGTGCATTCGCACCCAATGACAGTTGTGAGTTCAGTGAAAGTAGAGGACTCTGGTTCTAAGCAGCGGCGGTGGATGTTGACTGGGACAGGAGGAGGTTTGTTCAGACTCCCTATCCACCAGATGCCGCTGTGGTTGATGATAACTGTGAGAAGTTGCAGATGGTCAGTGTGTATTGGAAGCGCAAAAGCGCAATGAACTGCTCGCTGAGCAGCGAAAGGCCAGGGAATGTGACCTCGGATAAACTGACTCTCAGAACAAAAAACCGTCGAGTCAGATAATGGCTGGAGGAAAGCCTCTGATAGTAACCAGCGTGAGTAGCTGTCGCTGGCTAGGTGGGGACTGCTAGACGTAAGGAAAGGCACTGGTGCTCCAGGTCCCGAACCGCAGTTATTCGAGAGCCATGGAGCCCAGGCTGGGAGCAGAAGACAAGAGCCAGGCTCAGGAGAAGGGAGCCTGCCTGACCCTGGGCCTGGCGGGGGCTGGCCTGGCTAGCCCAGGGAATCCCGAGAGAGCAAGGCTCAGCAGCACCAGCAGAACCCAGCGAGCAGCACGTGAGCGGGCAGGCAGCACCAGGGAGAGGGGGAAAAGGGGCAATGTGTCTGTCTTGGGAATTGGGGGGGGGCTGGTGCGTGCCTCCCTGGTCCGCTCGCTTGGGAGTTGCTCTGCTAGCTCGCTGGGTAGGGGGGCTCGAAGCGGGAATTGCAAATGGAAAGTGTTTTGGCGAAACTACCCCCTGCTGAAGCTCGTATCCCAAAGCGCAATCTTGGAAATATCCCGCGTGGCAGTACGTCATTCGACAACGAATTACACTCTGGTCATGGCGAGGCACGTAGAGTGAAATGCCTATCCAAATCAATTCCAGTCTCTGGGAATCCGACACACGAACTGTTCATCTTATCTGATAAAGTGACTCCCGTTTGACTTACTCCTACCACTCATGATTAGAAATCGTATTTTGAAATTGTCATCACATTAACTGAAACATTTCATATATACAAGACCATCATTCCTCCCCTATTTTACAAAAATTTACAACAGTTCACAAGATGAACAACAAACTTCACATCAATCGTAGATGTCTTGAACCGCGATTGTACTCTGTTGCCTGCATATTCAAGAATATAAAACATTAGTAATCCAATAAAACGAGCCAAGTAATAGGTGGTCATGTGTGTCTAACAGCACTTACAATCCTTTCCACCCATCGAGATCTCACCTTTCATTCTTCGATATGCGGTAGTAGTGGTCTGCATGTTCCTTTCGCCCAATCATTTCTGCGAAAGTCTCATCGTGAGTGATGACAATCAACTGAAAGTTTTCCTGGCTTCTTCTCTCTTCCATTAGCCTGCACATACCGTAGGCACAAACAAATGAAAGAGCATGAACCAAACGAGCCGATTTGATCAGTGCAAACAAAAACGAGGTGAACACAACCAAGAGGCAGCAAGTCAGTGGACTGACCTGTTCAAGGCCCTTGCAAGGCTCTCAGCATTGGGAGCGTCAAGGTTGGTGGTCGGCTCATCCAAAGCGAGAATGCCGCAGTTGAGGCAAAAGGTCTCGGCCAATGCAAGGCGGATGATGAGAGATGCCAGCACCTGAGAGCCATAGGAAGAACAACCACAGAGTGCGGTGATAGGAAGGATGAATGAAGATGAGGGACAGCAGGCACGACGAGGATATGATTTTGGCAGACGTAAAATCTCAGAAGTGTGGAAGCAAATGATGATACCTAGCAGCCTGAGAGGCGCTTCAAGAATATTGCATGTGGAGAAAACGCTTCAATACTGTACCTTTTGGCCGGCACTGCATCTCCCCCGCATGTCCAGCTCAGCATCACCACTGCGCATCACCACCTGCCAGATTTCCCCCCCCATACACATGACCCCCCACTCCTCCACAACCCCCGCATTCCCCCATACAACGACAATGAGAAAATGAGCAGCATTTACTGAAGTCGCTGACATGAACAGACCAGCAAGGGCTAAGCATGTGACTTTCATACATAACGTAGAGGAACAAGCTGTGGGTGGCGCACACCCTGTGAATCTCCCTTACCCGGTAGGAGTACGAGCGTGTCCCCGCTCCTTCCGCGTCGGAGCGAATCTCAACGTAGTCAATGTCCTGGCCCCGGTACGTCTGCTGCCACAGCTCCTTGATGATCTTGTTGATCTCCTCCATCTTCATCGCATGGAACCGCATTAAAGCCCTGCAAATGTCACAAGGCGGACAGATATAAAGAAACAAAAAACAAACAGACAAACAAACAAAATCTCGATTGGGTCCTTGATGCCCTGAAAGATTCCACTTGTTGGAAAGTTCTGCCGCAATGCCATATTTCCCAAGACATAGGCTCGCTACTTACTTGTCCAGTGCATTATAGTATTTATCAATGTCCCGGTTTGCCATCTCTGAGGTCTGCAAAAGTGCAGGACACGATTAGACAGCAGCAAGCGGGGGAGAGGCAGGGAGCAATTATGTATTCAAGAAAGAGATATTGGCAAACAGGTGAATAGGGAGGGCAATGAGAGGGACGAACGAGTCACTTTGTGCCAACCCAAAGCTTAAACTCTCAGCTTCAGCCGGATGAGATGCTTCCAGTGCCTGTTCTCAACAGCACTCCACAGTGTCTGTTCCCAACGGTTCTCAACTGCGCCTCTAGACTGTCACAACCTCAGCTGGGCTTGAAAGCATCATTCGTGATTCGTTAGCCACATGCTTCCTGTGCCTGTACTCAACGCCTTTGAACCAAAAATCTACATCCTGAGGAAACTACAAAGCTCGAGGAGCCTACAACTTTGCTGGAAGGCGACTCTGCTAGATCTTGGGGTTGTCATAAAACCGCACATACAGCTGAATGAGCTCCTTCTTAGGTCTGTTCTCAATGGATTGAACTGTGGACCTTTCAGCTCTGCTTGAGAACAGCAATTCTCTTCATGAATATTCTATCGAAGGTCGCACCTTGAGCTGCACGAACTGCTTCCTGTGCCTGTCCTCAGTGTACCTGAACTGTGGCGCTTTGAGCAATGCTTGGGAAAAAAAAGTTTGTGTTTTTACGTGTACAGACTTTCTCACCTTGAGCTGGATGAGCTGCTTCTTGTGCCGGCTAACAATGTCTCTGAACTGGGGCGCCTTCACTGCTGCTTATAAACAAACATAATTGATTTTTTCAGAGCTCTCACCTTGAGCTGAATGAGCTGCTTCTTGTGCCGGCTAACTATGTCTCTGAACTGGGGCGCCCTCAGCTCTATCTCTGCGCGTCGGATGCTCGCCTCATGTGCGGCCACCTTGCCCCGGCTGTGGTTTTGCTGCGAGGGGAGAGACGTGGAGGTGGGTGAGGTGAGAGAGGTGTGAGGAGCGGTGAGGAGTGGTGCAAGTAAGGGGAGTGAGATGAGTGAGGCTTGGGCGTGTCGGATGCTCGCCTTATGTGCTGCCACCTTGTCCCGGCTGTGGTTTTGCTGCGAGGCGGAGAGACGCAGGGGAAAGGCAGAGTGTGGGGAGTGAGATGAGAGGAGAGTGAGACAAGAGAGGCGAGTGGAGTGAGACGAGGTGAGAGTGCTGACCTCATGTGCTGCCACCTTGCCCCGGCTGTGGTTTTGCTGCGAGGAGAAGAGACGTGGAGGAGAGAAGTTTGAGAGCAGTGCGAAGTGGTGCAAGTGAGGGAAGTGTGGTGCGAGAGATGAGTGAGGTGAGAAGTGGTGAGAAGCGATGAAAGTGAGGTGAATGAGGGGAGCAATCAAGGTTGACAGCTGCTCACCTCGGCAGCAAGCCCATCAATCTCCTCCCTCACGGCCCTCACCTCCTCCTCCAACTCCCCAACCCTCCCCACGCGCCCCATCTCCTCCCTCAGCCTCTCCACCTCTCGCCTCACCCCCTCTTCCTCCCTCTCCATGCCCCGGAACAACAGAATCGCCTCCACATTGCGCTTCACAGCATCCTGGCTGCGCAGCATCTCCCGCTCCTCTGCCTCCTTTGCGCTCAGCTGCTGAATTTGCTGCTCATTACTCGCCTGCCGCGCCTGCGACTGCTGCAGCCTTTTGGATGCTTCTGCTAGCCGCTGCTCCTTTTTAGAGGCAATGTAGCTGGTGGGGTGAGGAGAGGGGTGAGGAGAGAAGAGGGGACCTTAAAAGACTGACTCTCCATGCCCTGGAACACCAGAATCGCCTCCACATTGCGCTTGACAGCATCCTGGCTGCGAAGCATCTCCCTCTCCTCCGCCTCCGTCCCGCTCAGCTGCTCTATCCGCTGCTCGTTGCTCGCCTGCCGTGCCTGCGACTGCTGCAGCCGCTTTGATGCTTCCGCCAGCCACTGCTCCTTGTTCGAGGCGATGTAGCTGGTGGGGGAAGGGGGGATGGGGAGGGGAGGGAAGGGGAGAGGAGCGGAGGAAGGGAAGGGAAGGGAGCGGAGGAGGCGAGGGGACAGAGGGAGGGGGAAGAGGGGACCTTTGAAAAGCCTCAAGAGAGACCCGACAGCATTCCAGTTGCCCATCATCTCCCTCTCCTCCGCCTCCTTCGGGCTCAGCTGCTCTATCCGCTGTTCGTTCCTCGCCTGCCTGCGACTGCAGCAGCCGCTTCGATGCTTCAGCTAGCCGCTGCTCCTTGTTCGAGGCAATGTAGCTGATGGGATGGGGAGGAGGAGAAGGGAGATCGGATAAAGAGGCAATTTTGAATGCTTTCAAGAGTGATTCGAATGCTGTTGCAGCCGCTTTGATGCTTCCGTCAGCCGCTGCTCCTTGTTCGAGGCAATGTAGCTGATGGGATGGGGAGGAGGAGAAGGGAGATCGGATAAGGAGGCAATTTTGAATGCTCTCAAGAGTGATTCGAATGCTGTTGCAGCCGCTTTGATGCTTCCGTCAGCCGCTGCTCCTTATTCGAGGCACTGTAGCTGATGGGATGGGGAGGAGGAGAAGGGAGATTGGATAAAAAGGCAATTTTGAATGCTCTCAAAGAGTGATTCGAATGCTATTGCAGCCGCTTTGATGCTTCCGTCAGCCGCTGCTCCTTGTTCAAGGAAATGTAGCTGGTGAGGAGGGGAGAGGAGAGGAGAAGGGACAGAGCGGAGGAACGGGGGGGGGGGGCAGGGGAGGGAGAAGAGGGGAACATTGAAAAGTTTCTAAGAGTGGGGGTCCGGGTGGGGGTCACCTGCCTCCTAGAGGAGTGGCGCCCTCTAGGGGAAGGCGCCTGCCCCCTAGAGGAATGGCGCCCCCTAGGGGAAGGCGCCTGCCCCCTAGAGGAGTGGCGCCCCCTAGGGGAAGGCGTTTGCTCCCTAGAGGAGTGGCGCCCCATAGGGGAAGGCGCCGGCCCCCTAGAGGAGTGGCGCCCCCTAGGGGAAGGCGCCTGCCCCCTAGAGGAGTGGCGCCCCCTAGGGGAAGGCGCCTGCCCCCTAGAGGAGTGGCGCCCCCTAGGGGAAGGCGCCTGCCCCCTAGAGGAGTGGCGCCCCCTAGGGGAAGGCGCCTGCCCCCTAGAGGAGTGGCGCCCCCTAGGGGAAGGCGCCTGCCCCCTAGAGGAGTGGCGCCCCCTGGGGGAAGGCGCCTGCCCCCTAGAGGAGTGGCGCCCCCTAGGGGAAGGCGCCTGCCCCCTAGAGGAGTGGCGCCCCCTAGGGGAAGGCGCCTGCCCCCTAGAGGAGTGGCGCCCCCTAGGGGAAGGGCGCCTATTAGGGGAAGGGCGCCAATTAGGGGAGTGGCGCCTATCAGGGGAGTGGCGCCTATTAGGGGAGTGGCGCCTATTAGGGGAGTGGCGCCTATTAGGGGAGTGGCGCCTATTAGGGGAGTGGCGCCTATTAGGGGAGTGGCGCCTAGCCTATTAGGGGAGTGGCGCCTATTAGGGGAGTGGCGCCTATTAGGGGAGTGGCACCTATTAGGGGAGTGGCGCCTATTAGGGGAGTGGCGCCTATTAGGGGAGTGGCGCCTATTAGGGGAGTGGGGCCTAATAGGGGAGTGGCGCCTATTAGCGGAGTGGCGCCTATTAGGGGAGTGGCGCCTATTAGGGGAGTGGCGCCTATTAGGGGAGTGGCGCCTATTAGCGGAGTGGCGCCTATTAGGGGAGTGGCGCCTATTAGGGGAGTGGCGCCTATTAGGGGAGTGGCGCCCATTAGGGGAGTGGCGCCTATTAGGGGAGTGGCGCCGATTAGGGGAGTGGCGCCTATTAGGGGAGTGGCGCCTATTAGGGGAGTGGCGCCTATTAGGGGAGTGGCGCCTATTAGGGGAGTGGCGCCTATTAGGGGAGTGGCGCCTATTAGGGGAGTGGCGCCTATTAGGGGAGTGGCGCCTATTAGGGGAGTGGCGCCTAATAGGGGAGTGGCGCCTATTAGGGGAGTGGCGCCTATTAGGGGAGTGGCGCCCATTAGGAGAGTGGCGCCTATTAGGGGAGTGGCGCCGATTAGGGGAGTGGCGCCTATTAGGGGAGTGGCGCCTATTAGGGGAGTGGCGCCTATTAGGGGAGTGGCGCCTATTAGGGGAGTGGCGCCTAATAGGGGAGTGGCGCCTATTAGGGGAGTGGCGCCTATTAGTGGAATGACGCCTATTAGGGGAGTGGCGCCTATTAGGGGAGTGGCTGGCGCCTATTAGGGGAGTGGCGCCTATAAGGGGAGTGGCTGGCGCCTAATAGGGGAGTGGTGCCTATTAGGGGAGTGGCGCCTACTATTAGGGGAGTGGCGCCTAATAAGGAAGTGGCGCCTATTAGGGGAGTGGCGCCTATTAGGGGAGTGGCGCCTATTAGGGGAGTGGCGCCTATTAGGGGAGTGGCGCCTATTAAGGGAGTGGTGCCTATTAGGGGAGTGGCGCCTATTAGGGGAGTGGCGCCTATTAGGGGAGTGGCGCCTATTAGGGGAGTGGCGCCTATTAGGGGAGTGGCGCCTATTAGGGGAGTGGCGCCTAGCCTATTAGGGGAGTGGCGCCTATTAGGGGAGTGGCGCCTATTAGGGGAGTGGCACCTATTAGGGGAGTGGCGCCTATTAGGGGAGTGGCGCCTATTAGGGGAGTGGCGCCTATTAGGGGAGTGGGGCCTAATAGGGGAGTGGCGCCTATTAGCGGAGTGGCGCCTATTAGGGGAGTGGCGCCTATTAGGGGAGTGGCGCCTATTAGGGGAGTGGCGCCTATTAGGGGAGTGGCGCCTATTAGGGGAGTGGCGCCCATTAGGAGAGTGGCGCCTATTAGGGGAGTGGCGCCGATTAGGGGAGTGGCGCCTATTAGGGGAGTGGCGCCTATTAGGGGAGTGGCGCCTATTAGGGGAGTGGCGCCTATTAGGGGAGTGGCGCCTAATAGGGGAGTGGCGCCTATTAGGGGAGTGGCGCCTATTAGTGGAGTGACGCCTATTAGGGGAGTGGCGCCTATTAGGGGAGTGGCTGGCGCCTATTAGGGGAGTGGCGCCTATAAGGGGAGTGGCTGGCGCCTAATAGGGGAGTGGTGCCTATTAGGGGAGTGGCGCCTACTATTAGGGGAGTGGCGCCTAATAAGGAAGTGGCGCCTATTAGGGGAGTGGCGCCTATTAGGGGAGTGGCGCCTATTAGGGGAGTGGCGCCTATTAAGGGAGTGGCGCCTATTAAGGGAGTGGTGCCTATTAGGGGAGTGGCGCCTATTAGGGGAGTGGCGCCTATTAGGGGAGTGGCGCCTATTAGGGGAGTGGCGCGTAGTAGGGGAGTGGCGCCTATTAGGGGAGTGGCGCCTATTAGGGGAGTGGCGCCTATTAGGGGAGTGGCGCCTATTAGGGGAGTGGCGCCTATTAGGGGAGTGGCGCCTATAAGGGGAGTGGCACCTATTAGGGGAGTGGCGCCTATTAGGGGAGTGGCGCCTAGTAGGGGAGTGGCGCCTATTAGGGGAGTGGCGCCTATTAGGGGAGTGGCACCTATTAGGGGAAAGGCGCCTATTAGGGGAGTGGCGCCTATTAAGGGAGTGGCGCCTATTAGGGGAGTGGCGCCTATTAGGGGAGTGGCGCCTATTAGGGGAGTGGCGCCTATTAGGGGAGTGGCGGCGCCTATTAGGGGAGTGGCGCCTATTAGGGGAGTGGCGCCGCCTATTAGGGGAGTGGCGCCGCCTATTAGGGGAGTGGCGCCGCCTATTCGGGGAGTGGCGCCTATTAGGGGAGTGGCGCCTATAAGGGGAGTGGCGCCTACTATTAGGGGAGTGGCGCCTATTAGGGGAGTGGCGCCTATTAGGGGAGTGGCGCCTATTAGGGGAGTGGCGCCTATTAGGGGAGTGGCGCCTATTAGTGGAGTGACGCCTATTAGGGGAGTGGCGCCTATTAGGGGAGTGGCTGGCGCCTTTTAGGGGAGTGGCGCCTATAAGGGGAGTGGCTGGCGCCTAATAGGGGAGTGGCGCCTATTAGGGGAGTGGCGCCTACTATTAGGGGAGTGGCGCCTAATAAGGAAGTGGCGCCTATTAGGGGAGTGGCGCCTATTAGGGGAGTGGCGCCTATTAGGGGAGTGGCGCCTATTAGGGGAGTGGCGCCTATTAAGGGAGTGGCGCCTATTAGGGGAGTGGCGCCTATTAGGGGAGTGGCGCCTATTAGGGGAAAGGCGCCTATTAGGGGAGTAGCGCCTATTAGGGGAGTGGCGCCTATTAGGGGAGTGGCGCCTATTAGGGGAGTGGCGCCTATTAGGGGAGTGGCGCCTATTAGTGGAGTGACGCCTATTAGGGGAGTGGCGCCTATTAGGGGAGTGGCGCCTAGTAGGGGAGTGGCGCCTATTAGGGGAGTGGCGCCTATTAGGGGAGTGGCGCCTATTAGGGGAGTGGCGCCTATTAGGGGAGTGGCGCCTATTAGGGGAGTGGCGCCTATTAGGGGAGTGGCGCCTATTAGGGGAGTGGCGCCTAGTAGGGGAGTGGCGCCTAGTAGGGGAGTGGCGCCTATTAGGGGAGTGGCGCCTATTAGGGGAGTGGCGCCTATCAGGGGAAAGGCGCCTATTAGGGGAGTGGCGCCTATTAGGGGAGTGGCGCCTATTAGGGGAGTGGCGCCTATTAGGGGAGTGGCGCCTATTAGGGGAGTGGCGGTGCCTATTAGGGGAGTGGCGCCTATTAGGGGAGTGGCGCCTATTAGGGGAGTGGCGCCTACTATTAGGGGAGTGGCGCCTATTAGGGGAGTGGCGCCTATTAGGGGAGTGGCGCCTATTAGGGGAGAGGCGCCTATTAGGGGAGTGGCGCCTATTAGGGGAGTGGCGCCTATTAGGGGAGTGGCTGGCGTCTATTAGGGGAGTGTCGCCTATTAAGGAAGTGGCGCCTATTAGGGGAGTGGCGCCTATTAGGGGAGTGGCGCCTATTAGGGGAGTGGCGCCTATTAAGGGAGTGGCACCTATTAGGGGAGTGGCGCCTATTAGGGGAGTGGCGCCTATTAGTGGAGTGGCGCCTATTAGGGGAGTGGCGCCTTTTAGGGGAGTGGCGCCTATTAGGGGAGTGGCGCCTATTAGGGGAGTGGCGCCTATTAGGGGAGTGGCGCCTATTAGGGGAGTGGCGCCTATTAGGGGAGTGGCGCCTATTAGGGGAGTGGCGCCTATTAGGGGAGTGGCGCCTATTAGGGGAGTGGGGCCTATTAGGGGAGTGGCGCCTATTAGGGGAGTGGCGCCTATTAGGGGAGTTGCGCCTATTAGGGGAGTGGCGCCTATTAGGGGAGTGGCGCCTATTAGGGGAGTGGCGCCTATTAGGGGAGTGGCGCCTATTAGGGGAGTGGCGCCTATTAGGGGAGTGGCGCCTATTAGGGGAGTGGCGCCTATTAGGGGAGTGGCGCCTATTAGGGGAGTGGCGCCTATTAGGGGAGTGGCGCCTAGTAGGGGAGTGGCGCCTATTAGGGGAGTGGCGCCTATTAGGGGAGTGGCGCCTATTAGGGGAAAGGCGCCTATTAGGGGAGTGGCGCCTATTAGGGGAGTGGCGCCTATTAGGGGAGTGGCGCCTATTAGGGGAGTGGCGCCTATTAGGGGAGTGGCGCCTATTAGGGGAGTGGCGGCGCCTATTAGGGGAGTGGCGCCTATTAGGGGAGTGGCGCCGCCTATTAGGGGAGTGGCGCCGCCTAGTAGGGGAGTGGCGCCGCCTATTCGGGGAGTGGCGCCTATTAGGGGAGTGGCGCCTATTAGGGGAGTGGCGCCTACTATTAGGGGAGTGGCGCCTATTAGGGGAGTGGCGCCTATTAGGGGAGAGGCGCCTATTAGGGGAGTGGCGCCTATTAGGGGAGTGGCGCCTATTAGGGGAGTGGCTGGCGCCTATTAGGGGAGTGGCGCCTATTAAGGAAGTGGCGCCTATTAGGGGAGTGGCGCCAATTAGGGGAGTGGCGCCTATTAGGGGAGTGGCGCCTATTAGGGGAGTGGCGCCTATTAAGGGAGTGGCGCCTATTAGGGGAGTGGCGCCTATTAGGGGAGTGGCGCCTATTAGTGGAGTGGCGCCTATTAGGGGAGTGGCGCCTTTTAGGGGAGTGGCGCCTATTAGGGGAGTGGCGCCTATTAGGGGAGTGGCGCCTATTAGGGGAGTGGCGCCTATTAGGGGAGTGGCGCCTATTAGGGGAGTGGCGCCTATTAGGGGAGTGGCGCCTATTAGGGGAGTGGCGCCTATTAGGGGAGTGGGGCCTATTAGGGGAGTGGCGCCTATTAGGGGAGTGGCGCCTATTAGGGGAGTTGCGCCTATTAGGGGAGTGGCACCTATTAGGGGAGTGGCGCCTATCAGTGGAGTGGCGCCTATTAGGGGAGTGGCGCCTATTAGGGGAGTGGCTGGCGCCTTTAAGGGGAGTGGCGCCTATTAGGGGAGTGGCTGGCGCCTATTAGGAGAGTAGCGCCTATTAGGGGAGTGGCTGGCGCCTATTAGGGGAGTGGCGCCTATTAAGGAAGTGGCGCCTATTAGGGGAGTGGCGCCTATTCGGGGAGTGGCGCCTATTAGGGGAGTGGCGCCTATTAGGGGAGTGGCGCCTATCAGGGGAGTGGCGCCTATTAGGGGAGTGGCGCCTATTAGGGGAGTGGCGCCTAGTAGGGGAGTGGCGCCTATTAGGGGAGTGGCGCCTATTAGGGGAGTGGCGCCTATTAGGGGAAAGGCGCCTATTAGGGGAGTGGCGCCTATTAGGGGAGTGGCGCCTATTAGGGGAGTGGCGCCGCCTATTAGGGGAGTGGTGCCTATTAGGGGAGTGGCGCCTATTAGGTAAGTGGCGCCTATTAGGGGAGTGGCGCCTATTAGGGGAGTGGCGCCTATTAGGGGAGTGGCGCCTATTAGGGGAGTGGCGCCTATTAGGGGAAAGGCGCCTATTAGGGGAGTGGCGCCTATTAGGGGAGTGGCGCCTATTAGGGGAGTGGCGCCTATTAGGGGAGTGGCGCCTATTAGGGGAGTGGCGCCTATTAGGGGAGTGGCGGCGCCTATTAGGGGAGTGGCGCCTATTAGGGGAGTGGCGCCGCCTATTAGGGGAGTGGCGCCGCCTATTCGGGGAGTGGCGCCTATTAGGGGAGTGGCGCCTATTAGGGGAGTGGCGCCTACTATTAGGGGAGTGGCGCCTATTAGGGAAGTGGCGCCTATTAGGGGAGTGGCGCCTATTAGGGGAGTGGCGCCTATTAGGGGAGTGGTGCCTATTAGGGGAGTGGCGCCTATTAGGGGAGTGGCGCCTATTAGGGGAGTGGCGCCTATTAGGGGAGTGGCGCCTATTAGGGGAGTGGCGCCTATTAGGGGAGTGGCGCCTATTAGGGGAGTGGCGCCTATTAGGGAAAAGGCGCCTATTAGGGGAGTGGCGCCTATTAGGGGAGTGGCGCCTATTAGGGGAGTGGCGCCTATTAGGGGAGTGGCGCCTATTAGGGGCGTGGCGCCTATTAGGGGCGTGGCGCCTATTAGGGGAGTGGCGCCTATTAGGGGAGTGGCGCCTATTAGGGGAGTGGCGCCTATTAGGGGAGAGGCGCCTATTAGGGGAGTGGCGCCTATTAGGGGAGTGGCGCCTATTAGGGGAGTGGCGCCTATTGGGGGAGAGGCGCCTAATAGGGGAGTGGCGCATATTAGGGGAGTGGCGCCTATTAGTGGAGTGGCGCCTATTAGGGGAGTGGCGCCTATTAGGGGAGTGGCTGGCGCCTTTAAGGGGAGTGGCCCCTATTAGGGGAGTGGCTGGCGCCTATTAGGGGAGTGGCGCCTATTAGGGGAGTGGCGCCTATTAGGGGAGTGGCGCCTATTAGGGGAGTGGCGCCTATTAGGGGAGTGGCGCCTATTAGGGGAGTGGGGCCTATTAGGGGAGTGGCGCCTATTAGGGGAGTGGCGCCTATTAGGGGAGTTGCGCCTATTAGGGGAGTGGCGCCTATTAGGGAAGTGGCGCCTATCAGTGGAGTGGCGCCTATTAGGGGAGTGGCGCCTATTAGGGGAGTGGCTGGCGCCTTTAAGGGGAGTGGCTGGCGCCTAATAGGGGAGTGGCGCCTATTAGGGGAGTGGCGCCTACTATTAGGGGAGTGGCGCCTAATAAGGAAGTGGCGCCTATTAGGGGAGTGGCGCCTATTAGGGGAGTGGCGCCTATAAGGGGAGTGGCGCCTATTAGGGGAGTGGCGCCTATTAAGGGAGTGGCGCCTATTAGGGGAGTGGCACCTATTAGGGGAGTGGCGCCTATTAGGGGAGTGGCGCCTATTAGGGGAGTGGCGCCTAGTAGGGGAGTGGCGCCTATTAGGGGAGTGGCGCCTATTAGGGGAGTGGCGCCTATTAGGGGAGTGGCGCCTATTAGGGGAGTGGCGCCTATTAGGGGAGTGGCGCCTATTAGGGGAGTGGCGCCTATTAGGGGAGTGGCGCCTATTAGGGGAGTGGGGCCTATTAGGGGAGTGGCGCCTATTAGGGGAGTGGCGCCTATTAGGGGAGTTGCGCCTATTAGGGGAGTGGCGCCTATTAGGGGAGTGGCGCCTATCAGTGGAGTGGCGCCTATTAGGGGAGTGGCGCCTATTAGGGGAGTGGCTGGCGCCTTTAAGGGGAGTGGCTGGCGCCTAATAGGGGAGTGGCGCCTATTAGGGGAGTGGCGCCTACTATTAGGGGAGTGGCGCCTAATAAGGAAGTGGCGCCTATTAGGGGAGTGGCGCCTATTAGGGGAGTGGCGCCTATAAGGGGAGTGGCGCCTATTAGGGGAGTGGCGCCTATTAAGGGAGTGGCGCCTATTAGGGGAGTGGCGCCTATTAGGGGAGTGGCGCCTATTAGGGGAGTGGCGCCTATTAGGGGAGTGGCGCCTAGTAGGGGAGTGGCGCCTATTAGGGGAGTGGCGCCTATTAGGGGAGTGGCGCCTATTAGGGGAGTGGCGCCTATTAGGGGAGTGGCGCCTATTAGGGGAGTGGCGCCTATCAGGGGAGTGGCGCCTATTAGGGGAGTGGCGCCTATTAGGGGAGTGGCGCCTAGTAGGGGAGTGGCGCCTATTAGGGGAGTGGCGCCTATTAGGGGAGTGGCGCCTATTAGGGGAAAGGCGCCTATTAGGGGAGTGGCGCCTATTAGGGGAGTGGCGCCTATTAGGGGAGTGGCGCCTATTAGGGGAGTGGCGCCTATTAGGGGAGTGGCGCCTATTAGGGGAGTGGCGGCGCCTATTAGGGGAGTGGCGCCTATTAGGGGAGTGGCGCCGCCTATTAGGGGAGTGGCGCCGCCTAGTAGGGGAGTGGCGCCGCCTATTCGGGGAGTGGCGCCTATTAGGGGAGTGGCGTCTATTAGGGGAGTGGCGCCTACTATTAGGGGAGTGGCGCCTATTAGGGGAGTGGCGCCTATTAGGGGAGTGGCGCCTATTAGGGGAGAGGCGCCTATTAGGGGAGTGGCGCCTATTAGGGGAGTGGCGCCTATTAGGGGAGTGGCTGGCGCCTATTAGGGGAGTGGCGCCTATTAAGGAAGTGGCGCCTATTAGGGGAGTGGCGCCAATTAGGGGAGTGGCGCCTATTAGGGGAGTGGCGCCTATTAGGGGAGTGGCGCCTATTAAGGGAGTGGCGCCTATTAGGGGAGTGGCGCCTATTAGGGGAGTGGCGCCTATTAGTGGAGTGGCGCCTATTAGGGGAGTGGCGCCTTTTAGGGGAGTGGCGCCTATTAGGGGAGTGGCGCCTATTAGGGGAGTGGCGCCTATTAGGGGAGTGGCGCCTATTAGGGGAGTGGCGCCTATTAGGGGAGTGGCGCCTATTAGGGGAGTGGCGCCTATTAGGGGAGTGGCGCCTATTAGGGGAGTGGGGCCTATTAGGGGAGTGGCGCCTATTAGGGGAGTGGCGCCTATTAGGGGAGTTGCGCCTATTAGGGGAGTGGCGCCTATTAGGGGAGTGGCGCCTATCAGTGGAGTGGCGCCTATTAGGGGAGTGGCGCCTATTAGGGGAGTGGCTGGCGCCTTTAAGGGGAGTGGCGCCTATTAGGGGAGTGGCTGGCGCCTATTAGGAGAGTAGCGCCTATTAGGGGAGTGGCTGGCGCCTATTAGGGGAGTGGCGCCTATTAAGGAAGTGGCGCCTATTAGGGGAGTGGCGCCTATTCGGGGAGTGGCGCCTATTAGGGGAGTGGCGCCTATTAGGGGAGTGGCGGAGCCTATTAGGGGAGTGGCGCCGCCTAGGGGAGTGGCACCGCCTATTAGGGGAGTGGCGCCGCCTATTAGGGGAGTGGTGCCTATTAGGGGAGTGGCGCCTATTAGGTAAGTGGCGCCTATTAGGGGAGTGGCGCCTATTAGGGGAGTGGCGCCTATTAGGGGAGTGGCGCCTATTAGGGGAGTGGCGCCTATTAGGGGAAAGGCGCCTATTAGGGGAGTGGCGCCTATTAGGGGAGTGGCGCCTATTAGGGGAGTGGCGCCTATTAGGGGAGTGGCGCCTATTAGGGGAGTGGCGCCTATTAGGGGAGTGGCGCCTATTAGGGGAGTGGCGGCGCCTATTAGGGGAGTGGCGCCTATTAGGGGAGTGGCGCCGCCTATTAGGGGAGTGGCGCCGCCTATTCGGGGAGTGGCGCCTATTAGGGGAGTGGCGCCTATTAGGGGAGTGGCGCCTAGTATTAGGGGAGTGGCGCCTATTAGGGAAGTGGCGCCTATTAGGGGAGTGGCGCCTATTAGGGGAGTGGTGCCTATTAGGGGAGTGGCGCCGATTAGGGGAGTGGCGCCTATTAGGGGAGTGGCGCCTATTAGGGGAGTGGCGCCTATTAGGGGAGTGGCGCCTATTAGGGGAGTGGCGCCTATTAGGGGAGTGGCGCCTATTAGGGGAAAGGCGCCTATTAGGGGAGTGGCGCCTGTTAGGGGAGTGGCGCCTATTAGGGGAGTGGCGCCTATTAGGGGAGTGGCGCCTATTAGGGGCGTGGCGCCTATTAGGGGCGTGGCGCCTATTAGGGGAGTGGCGCCTATTAGGGGAGTGGCGCCTATTAGGGGAGTGGCGCCTATTAGGGGAGAGGCGCCTATGAGGGGAGTGGAGCCTATTAGGGGAGTGGCGCCTATTAGGGGAGTGGCGCCTATTGGGGGAGAGGCGCCTAATAGGGGAGTGGCGCCTATTAGGGGAGTGGCGCCTATTAGTGGAGTGGCGCCTATTAGGGGAGTGGCGCCTATTAGGGGAGTGGCTGGCGCCTTTAAGGGGAGTGGCCCCTATTAGGGGAGTGGCTGGCGCCTATTAGGGGAGTGGCGCCTACTAGGGGAGTGGCTGGCGCCTATTAGGGGAGTGGCGCCTATTAAGGAAGTGGCGCCTATTAGGGGAGTGGCGCCTATTAGGGGAGTGGCGCCTATTAGGGGAGTGGCGCCTATTAGGGGAGTGGCGCCTATTAGGGAAGTGGCGCCTCCTAAGGGAAGGCGCCTGCCTCCTTTGGGAGAGGCGCCTATTAGAGGAGTGGCAACTCCTAGGCGAAGACGCCTGCCTCCTTCAGGAGAGGCGCCTATTAGAGGAGTGGCGCCTCCTAGGGGAAGGCGCCAGGCGCCTATTAGAGGAGTGGCGCCTCCTAGGTTTAAGGTTTAGGGTTTAGGGGGGAAGGCGCCTGCCTCCTTTAGGAAAGGCGCCTATTAGAGGAGTGGCGTCTCCTAGGGGAAGGCGCCTGCCTCCTTCAGGAGAGGCGCCTATTAGTGGAGTGGCGCCTCCTAGGGAAAGGCGCCTGCCTCCTTTAGGAGAGGCGCCTATTAGAGGAGTGGCGCCTCCTAGGGGAAGTCGCCTGCCTCCTTTAGGAGAGGCGCTTATTAGGGGAGTGGCGCCTCCTAGGGGAAGGGCGGAGGGCGGAGGGTGGAGGGTGGAGGGCGGAGGGCGGAGGGCGGAGGGAGGAGGGCGGAGGGTGGAGAGGGCGGAGGGTGGACGGTGGAGGGTGGAGGGTGGAGGGTGGAGGGCGGAGGCAGGAGGGCGGAGGGAGGAGGGAGGAGGGCGGAGGGCGGAGGGTGGAGGGAGGATGAAGGAGGGAGGAGGGAGGGGGGCGGAGAGAGCGGAGGGCGGAGGGAGGAGGGCGGAGGGTGGAGGGTGGAGGGAGGAGGGCGGAGGGCGGAGGGCGGAGAGGGCGGAGGGTGGAGGGTGGAAGGCGGAGGGCGGAGGGCGGAGGGCGGAGGGTGGAGGGTGGAGGGAGGAGGGCGGAGGGAGGAGGGAGGAGGGCGGAGAGGGCAGAGGGCGGATTAGAGGAGAGGCAGCTCTTAGAGGAGAGGCGCCTGCCTCTTAGATGTTGCTCTTGAGGCGATGTAGTTGGTGGGGTGAGGAGAGAGGAGTGGAAAAAGGAGAAGGGATGGGAGGGGATGGGAGGGGATGAGAGTAAATGGGACGGGTGAGGAGGGGATGGGAGGGGAAGGGAGGAGGGCGAGAATTTCCAAAAGTCCCAAGAGGGAACCTCATTGTTGGAGGCAACATAGCTGGTGGGGTGAGGGGCGAGGAGAAATGAAACAGGCGACTTTGATTTTGGCAAATATCCCTCTCGACCCATCCAGATCCCTCTCCATGGCCCTCACTTGCCCATACATCTCCTCTTGAGACACATCGCTCTTGTTCTGAGACGCCTCATCACTCACTCATTGATCTTCACGAATATTCCTCTCATTCCATCCAAAACTCTCTCCACATGCCCCTCACCTGCCCCTGCATCTCCGCCTCCTTATGAGGCGCCTCAAAGGCTGTCCCCTGGTTTGAAATGCCTCAACACTCACTCTTCGATCTTCTTGAATATCGCTCTCGTCCCGTCCAGGTCCCTCTCCATGCCCCTCACCCGCCCCTGCATCTCCGCCTCCTCCGCCCCTGCCTTCTCCCGCCATACCCTCCGCCCCTCCACTGCCTCCCCATGCTTCTTCCTCAGAGGCCCCATGCTCCGCTCCAGTGCCTGGTGATTGCAGGATTGGGGGAAGCCAGGTGAGTCAAGTACAGGAGAAGATTGGCAAGGGACTGCGACAGAGGAACTTCAGTCAGCAAATGAATCGGCTAACACGGCTCCCTCATTCTCCCGCCACACCTTCCGCCCCTCCACTGCCGCCCCATGCTTGCTCCACCGCCGCCCCATGCTTGCTCCTCAGACGCCCCATGCTTGCTCCTCAGAAGCCCCATGCTTGCTCCTCAGAAGCCCCATGCTTGCTCCTCAGAAGCCCCATGCTTGTTCCTCAGAAGCCCCATGCTTGCTCCTCAGAAGCCCCATGCTTGCTCCTCAGAAGCCCCATGCTTGCTCCTCAGACGCCCCATGCTTGCTCCTCAGACGCCCCATGCTGCGCTTCCCCTTCCCCACCGAGTCTTTAGACATCTCAGAGCAGCGCTCACCTGTATTTCCAGTTGACTTTTGAGTCGACTCAAAAGTCAACCCACCGAGTCAATAGACATCTCAAAGCAGCGCTCACCTGTATTCCAGTTGAATTTTGAGTCGACTCAAAAGTCAACCCACCGAGTCAGTAGACATCTCAAAGCAGCGCTCACCTGTATTTCCAGCTTGCTCCCTTCAACCGCCACCTCCAGCTGCCCCACCTCCTCCTCCATCTTCCCCCATGCCACTCTCAGAGCCATTTGCGGTCTCTCCTTCCTCAGCCTCCCCACCAAGCCTTTAAAGGTCTCAGAAAGCAGCGCTCACCTGTATTTCCAGTTTGCTCCCTTCAATCGCCACCTCCAGCTGCCCCACCTCCTCCTCCATCTCCCGCCGCCTCGCCACTCTCAGAGCCATCTGGGCCCTCTCCTCCCGCGCCCCCCGCCACCTGTTGCTGGCTGCTGCTGCCTCGTCCTTCAGTGCTGCATGCTCCTCCCTCAGCCTTTCCACATCCCCTGCTGCTGCATCTCTGCAGTACAGCACACCATAGGCACAGGACCGAGGGAGCGAGACGAGGGGTAAGGGACGAAAAGAGACCCCTGAGCATGTAAATAAGAAGCGTTTGCACACAAGCTTTCCTCGTCCATATGCCCGATCCCTTCATCCACCCCCCGTTTCCCCTCTCTCACCACCTCTCCCCTGCAGCAGAAGCAGCCAGCTCACCTCTTCTCCTCCACAGCAGCCAGATCGGCATTTTCATCCGCCAATGAGCGCATGGCCTGGGAGAGCGTGTCCAGGCGGTAACCCAGCTCCTGCACCTCCTCACCTCCCTCCTCAACCTCCGTGCCTATATTCAGAACCATGCAGCAGCAGCAGCCTCACCTCTTCTCTTCAGCAGCAGCCAAATCAGCATAGACATCAGCCAGGGAGCGCATGGCCTGGGAGAGCGTGTCAAGGCGGTACTCTAGCTCCTGCACCTCCGCTTTCCCCCACTCTCCCCCTCCTTCCTCACTCTGTCCCACCTCCCATTCCTCACCTCTTCTCTTAGCAGCAGCCAGGTCAGCATTCACATCCGCCAGGGAGCGCATGGCCTGGGAGAGCATGTTGAGGCGGTACTGCAGCTCCTGCACCTCCTCACCTCCTGCCTCATCCTCCGCGCCTGAACCCAGAACCCAGCAGGAGGAGCACAGCAGCAGCAGCAGCCAGCTCACCTCTTCTCTTCAACAGCAGCCAGATCAGCATTGACATCAGCCAGCGAGCGCATGGCCTGGGAGAGCGTGTCCAAACGATACTCCAGCTCCTGCACCTCTGCTTCCCCGTTCTCCGCCTCCTTCCTCACCCTCTCCGCGTCCTTTACTATCAACTCCACCCGCCCCGCTGCGTCTAGCTTCGCCTTGGCCTCTGCCAGCAAGCACAGCAGCTGGAAAGTGAAAGGAGAGAGGGGTGAAAGGAGGAAGGGGCAGGGGGGTGGAAAGGGTGGGAAACAGAGAGTGAGGAGCCTGCTGTCGGATCGACCAGGTGTGGCACCAGAGGAGACAAGATTCAAGACAATGTTAAGGAGACTTCGAGGCATGATGACGACACGAACACATGGCTGCGACAAAGGCAGGCACACATGGATGTATGTATGATAGGGAGGGAACACACACAGGATGAAACACAACGAGACGGCGCAATGTTACTCACATTCTCATGGTTCTCCTGGGCCTTGCTCTGGGCTTCCTCCACGTGGCCCACTACCACCCTGGCACGTGGCACCAGCTCATCCACCAGCTTCCTGTACTCGTTATAAACAGGATGCAGATCATCCAGAATCCCCAGCTTCTGCGCAAGCCCCTCCCGCTCCCGCTTCAACTCAGCCTCCTTGTTCCCAGCGTTCCTGTTCTTGTTCTTTATCTTCTCCACAAATTGCTCCTCCTCTTCCCGGGAGAAGCCTCTTTCACAAGTTGGGCAGCAGTGCCTACGCCGAGCCACTTGCTCGAATTGTGCCACAAACTTCTTCATTTCCACAAATGTCTCGTACGCCCTGCGAACAAGAGAAGCAAGTTTTGCGGGGACAAAATATCTCATGGAGCATGGGAGAGAGTGGCGCATTGCGAGCTTGCTCTAAGCATCCAGCAAGCACACAACCTCGTACATAACCCAGGAAACCAAAACGATGCACCCAAATACCCATTCATGCACTCACCCAATAACGTCCTCCAGCGACGCTCTCTTCAACCCCCTCCCTCTTTCCAAGTCCTCCAAGGCAAGAGACGGGTCCCAGTGGCATCGCCCATGCACACGATCAATGCACCAATGCACTCACCCGATAGCTTCCTCGAGAGCAGTTCTCTTCTCTCCTCGTACTCTCTCCAAATCGTCCACTGCAAGAGATGGATCCACTGCCTTGCTCAGACGCGTCTGAATAAGGACTCGCTTGGCTGGGGGGAGGATCACGGGGGAGAAGCGTAGGAGGCAATGGGAAATGGTGGAGAGGGATGGGGAGAAGGCGGGCATTATTGCAGATGTGCACACAGATGATAAAGGGGAAATTGATTGATTCACTTCAAACCACACGACACCACACTGCTGCTGTTCCTAAGCTCACCAGACCACATCACACCGTGCTGCACCGCACTGAACCACTCACTATCCATCTCGTTGCTGTGCCTGTTAAGTTCGCTCCGTGCATGGTCCAGCCGCTGCTGCTGCACTGCTGCCTCGTTGCCCGCCTCCTTGGCCTTCACATCTGCCTCCTCATACACCACTCGCTGCGCCCTGCATGCATACATTTAAATGGGGGTGGTAGGTCGGGAAGGGAGAGAGGGGTAAAAAGGGGAGGACGGGGGATTGGGAGGCACAGGGGCAGGGGGAGATAAGACCTTCAAAGTAAGTCTCTGTAAGTCATTTCACTACCATGCAAAGTATAGTGCATATGCCCGAAACCCTAGACTGTAGCAGCATAAATCCCTACTGCTCCCCTTGCCCCCCACACCTTTTCCCTGGTGCAACACACCCCCTCCACTTGCACCCCACGCCCCTCCCCTTACACCCCACACCCCTCCCATTGCGCCCCACACCCCTCCCCTTGTGCCCCGCCCCAACCCTTGCACCCCACAGCCCCTCCCCTTACCTCCCACACCCCCCACCCTTTCCATTTACACACCTGATCGCCTTTTCAACCTCCCGAACCAGCTTGCTTGTTTCTGAAGGCATCTCCCCGCCCAGCACCTCCTCTATCCGCCCCTTGTTCTCTGCCAGCCTGCCTTGCAGACAAAGGTGGGAAGAGTATGTAGAGGATGGAGGGCATTGGCAGATGAACAAGAAAAAAACAGAAAACGAAGGTGAATTGAAGAAGACGTGAAGACGGGAGGGAGGTTGACACGGCAAGGGTAAGAACGGTGAGAGGAACAAGGGATTAGAAAAGACAGAACAGAGCAGAGCAAGGGGGTGGGTGGGGGGAGAGGGGGGTAGGAGAAGCAAGGGAACATGAGGGTGGGGAACAGAGAGCAAAAATCGCGAAACGATCCATCCAGACAACGTAATGCAGAACTCGGTATCACGAGCCAAATCACACCAAGAACAACTCACAGCTTCTTCAGCTGAGCCTCCTTCTCCCTCACCGCCTCCTGCTTTAGCCTCAGCGTCACCCTCTCGCTGCTCTCTGCCGCCAGGCTGTCTTTCTCCCGCTGCAGAGCCTTCAGCCGCTGCTCCTGCCGGCTCAGGTCTGTTTTGGCATCCTCCAGCTTGGAGAGGAGTGTGGGGTCTCGTAGCTTGGTTGCGAGTCTGTCCGCCTCAGCTTTCTGCATGGGATGGGACAAGTGTGGCAACACGTTACAAACAGACACTGTGAGTTGGCTAAGAAGTCAAAGCTGCTCCTGCCCAGGTCCTTTTTCGCATCCTCCAGCTTGGACAGCAGTGTGGGGTCGCGCAGCTTGGTTGCCAGCCTGTCAGCCTGTCCGCCTCTGCTTTCTGCATTGAATGGGAGTAGTGTTGCAACACACGGTCACTGTGAGTTAACTAATTGTCGCTGCTGCTCCTGCCAGCTCAGGTCTGTCTTGGGTAGTAACAGGCGAACACCTAGAGCAGGGTAGGAGGCGGACGCCTACAGCAGGGTAGGAGGCGGACGCCTAGAGCAGGGTAGGAGGCGGACGCCTAGAGCAGGGTAGGAGGCGGACGCCAAGAGCAGGGTAGGAGGCGGACGCCAAGAGCAGGGTAGGACGCCAAGAGCAGGGTAGGAGGCGGACGCCTAGAGCAGGGTAGGAGGCGGACGCCTAGAGCAGGGTAGGAGGCGGACGCCTAGAGCAGGGTAGGAGGCGGACGCCTAGAGCAGGGTAGGAGGCGGACGCCTAGAGCAGGGTAGGAGGCGGACGCCTAGAGCAGGGTAGGAGGCGGACGCCTAGAGCAGGGTAGAAGACTGAGGCCTTACCGCTTTCTTCTCTTCTCGCTCCAGACGAGCCATGCCGTCCTCGTCCACACTGCTGCTCTCCATCGCTTCCTTCACCTGCTGCCTCCTCGCCTCGCTGCTCCTCTGCCCATTGCACACACCACAACCAGCAAAAAAATACCAGGTAGGTATTAGAGCAGGCGCACAGGAATCACAGGCATGAACCATGACTCGTAAGCCACATGAGTCAACGGTAAACAAGAACCAGGATATTGCAACACGCTAAAAAACTCAAATCTATAACCCCCTCTATCTCCAATTCAAGCTCTTATCTCACCTTTCTCTCCTGTGCCATCTGGAGCTGCCCCTCCGCCTTCACAATCTCTCCCCCAGCAGCCTCAATCTCCGCCCCCCGCCGCCGCTCCTCCTCCTGCTGCCCCCGCTTCATCTCGTCCCACCGCTGCTGCAGCTGTGTCAGCGTGCTCGCTGCGCGCCTGCCCAGCTCCACTGCTTCATCGCTTGCCAGGGGCACGGGGCCGATGTCACCTAAGTCGTGATTGGAGTAGAGCTGCTGCAGGCACCTGTCACGCTCGTTGCAATCCCGCTCGTGCACCTGGGAGGTGGGGGCCGGTTGGAAGGGTTCTGAAACGTCAAGGCTGGGTGCATGCCCAGCCTGCTCGCTGCGTGCATGCCCAGCTCCACTGCTTGATTGCTGGCCAGGGGCCCAGGCCCTATGTCTCCCAGGTCGTGCTTGGAGAACAGCTGCTGCAGGCACCTGTCTCGCTCGTTGCAGCCCCGCTCGTGCACGTGAGAGAGAAGGGTGGTTGCATGGAGACAAAAGCTCTTACAACCATTCTTTCTCTTCAAAAAACAATACATGAAGCAGGCGCGCACCTCTTTCTCCACTTGCAACCGGCTGACCAGCTGCCTGTCCCGCTCGCTGCTCTCCCGCTCCGCCTCCTGCTGAATCCGCAGCTCACTCAGCTCCCGTGTGGTTTTCGCCAGGCTTCCCTCCAGCTTGCCCACCACACCCTCAAACTCCCGCCGCCACTCTTCGAGTTTCTCATCTGACTCTGCTCGGGGACAGATGGGGTTGAAGCAGGGGGGTTGGTTTGGGTCGACGCAGGAATCACCTCTCCACCGTCGCTGCCACGCCCTCAAACTCCAGCCGCCACTCCTCCAGCTGCTCGCCCGAGATTGCTCGGGGACAAAAGACATGCAGGCGAGGTCTTAAGGGCGTGAGGCCGTGGGGGTCTGAGGGCGTGGGGCACGACCAAACACCCGGTTCCCATATGGCAAGTAATGTGATTCTAAGACAATAGTAGCATATTGTTGTTGCACTCAGCCAAGACACTGGTACACCTTATCTCGACTGGCAGTGATGTGAATGGCATACTAAGTAAGTGTAGCTAGGTAGACCTTAGCATATCAAGAATGGCCACACATCATCATTGTCTGACACGATGTTGGTGCGCTGCTGCACCTACTGCCGTGACAGCAGCTTCAGGCGCCCTCAGCCAAGACATTGGCGATTCACAATCAGCTGGAATGATATCAAGCATCGGTCACTCACCATCATTGTCTGACATGATGTTAGCGCGCTGCTGCACCTTCTGCCGTGACAGCAGCTCCAGCCGCCCCTCCTGCGTCTGCAAATCCGCCTTCAGCTGTCTCAACCGCGCCAAACCGCTCTCCACCTCGCCCTGCCGCGCCCGCCGCTCCGCAATCTGCCCCTCCAGCCTCTCGATCTGCCCTGCCAGGCGCTCTGACTGGCCTGAGTCTGCCTTTATGCCCTCCTGAAGCTGCTTGCAGAGAATGAGGAGAGACGAGGAGACACCAAGAGATATGTGCAAGGAAGCGGAGCGTTGATAATAGGCCCAGCCTGACTTGAAATCTCGATGGAATGTATGAATGGAGAAGTCAAGGGATTCACAGCCCCTTACGCTTGGGGACCTCTCGTGTGTGTGAAATAGCACGTACCCGCAAGGACGTGTCGAGTATGTTTCTGAGGTTCTCCGCCTTGAGCTTCATCTCCTTTATAAGCTGCGCCTGCTCCTTGTGCACCTTCTTCAGTGCCTCCAGCGCTTTAGTGTACCTGACACATAACACAGAAAGACATCATCAAACTTCTTGCTAAGCAAGGCAGGCTCAGCAAGCAGCTGCTTTGCTGCAAACCTGCGTTTGCAGGGTCAGTCAGCCACATCACCCAAAAACCTACTTGGTGGCGGAAAAAATGTCGTCAAACTTCTTCTTGAGCAGCGCGGGCTCAGCGAGGGGCCAGTTGGCGTCGTCCTGGTGGACGAATATCACGTTCTCGAGCACCGCCTTGGGCACGCCCATCAGCAGCGGGATCTCCCGATCCATGTCCGCACAGCGGTAGCTCAGGGAGACGCGCTGGAGGGAGGGGAGGGGAAGTGGGGGAGTGCAGGGTGTGGCTTGCATGTGAGTGGGCTCACTGGCCCATCAGCAGCGGGATCTCCCGATCCATGTCCGCACAGCGGTAGCTCAGGGAGACGCGCTGGGGGGAGCAGCGACGGGGATGGGGAAGAATGTGGGCGCACAGAGAGAAGTCGACGGTTACTAGCACATCAGCACACGGCAAAATATTCTAATCCATGTCTGCACAGTGGTAGCTCAGAGACATGAGCTGGAAGATCAAGGGAGCGGAGGAAGGGGGAGGGGAAGGTCCTGTGGTGCTGTTGAGGGTCTGCAGTACGCTCTTTTTGGGCATGAACTGACACCCTCTCTTACTCTCCTCGCTGGTGGTGCTGTCCGTGGTCTGCACCAAGCCTTCAATCGCCTTAAAATCCATGTCGCTATGCATGTGTTGTGTATCTTTCACCCAACAAGCAGCTCCCATGTATCAGCAACCTCTACTGCTGCTACGGACCTCGCCAGTGGTACTGTTGATGGTCTGCAGCACGCTCTCAATGGCTTTAAACTGCCACCCTCTCCTGCTCTCCTGTCACTCTTCCTCCCACCCAGCTCTCCCATTCTCCAACCCCCCGGCATACCTCGCCAGTGGTGCTGTTGATGGTTTGCAGCACGCTTTCAATGGCCTTGAACTCCATCTTGCTGGTCTTCTGTGTGAGTGAGAAGTTGCGTACGCTCACCACGTCCTTGCCTGCTGCTGTGCGGAACCGCAGCTTGATCTGCCCCTTGGTCTCCGTTATATGCGCCACCTGCCAGCACCAGCACGGGAACATAGAAACAGAAGTGCGGACATGAGCTTGTGCGTGCTCTGCTCTCCCCCTCCTTGCCTGCTGCCGCAGCTTGATCTGCCCCCACAGCTCCGTTATATGCGCCACCTGCCAGCAGCAAGAATCTCGCATCGCCATGGCCAATGTCCTGGCGTGATGAGGCGTGTCATCACCACCAGGACTGGCACATGGCTGCTGCATGAAGCCTTTCGGACCTTGGAGTGTAGCATGACCGAGTGTAGCATGACCGAGTGTAGCATGACCGAGTGTAGCATGACTGAATGTAGCATGACCGAATGTAGCATGACTGAATGTAGCATGACCGAATGTAGCATGACTGAAAGTAGCATGACCGAATGTAGCATGACCGAATGTAGCATGACCGAATGTAGCATGACCGAATGTAGCATGACCGAATGTAGCATGACCGAACGTAGCATGACCGAACGTAGCATGAGTGAACGTAGCATGACCGAATGTAGCATGACCGAATGTAGCATGACTGAATGTAGCATGACCGAATGTAGCATGACTGAAAGTAGAATGACCGAATGTAGCATGACCGAATGTAGCATGACCGAATGTAGCATGACCGAACGTAGCATGACCGAACGTAGCATGACCGAACGTAGCATGACCGGATGTAGCATGACTGAAAGTAGCATGACCAAATGTAGCATGACCGAATGTAGCATGACCGAATGTAGCATGACCGAATGTAGCATGACCGAATGTAGCATGACCGAATGTAGAATGACCGAATGTAGCATGACCGAATGTAGCATGACCGAATGTAGCATGACCGAACGTAGCATGACCGAACATAATATGACCGAACGTAGCATGACCGGATGTAGCATGACTGAATGTAGCATGACCGAATGTAGCATGACTGAATGTAGCATGACCGAATGTAGCATGACTGAATGTAGCATGACCGAATGTAGCATGACTGAATGTAGCATGACCGAATGTAGCATGACCGAATGTAGCATGACTGAATGTAGCATGACCGAATGTAGCATGACCGAGTGTAGCATGACCGAATGTAGCATGACTGAATGTAGCATGACCGAATGTAGCATGACTGAATGTAGCATGACCGAATGTAGCATGACTGAAAGTAGCATGACCGAATGTAGCATGACCGAATGTAGCATGACCGAATGTAGCATGACCGAATGTAGCATGACCGAATGTAGCATGACCGAACGTAGCATGACCGAACGTAGCATGAGCGAACGTAGCATGACCGAATGTAGCATGACCGAATGTAGCATGACTGAATGTAGCATGACCGAATGTAGCATGAATGAATGTAGCATGACCGAATGTAGCATGACTGAAAGTAGCATGACCGAATGTAGCATGACCGAATGTAGCATGACCGAATGTAGCATGACCGAATGTAGCATGACCGAATGTAGCATGACCGAATGTAGCATGACCGAATGTAGCATGACCGAACGTAGCATGACCAAACGTAGCATGACCGAACGTAGCATGACCGAACGTAGCATGACCGGATGTAGCATGACTGAATGTAGCATGACCGAATGTAGCATGACTGAATGTAGCATGACCGAATGTAGCATGACTAAACCTGCAGGAAATCAGAGAAAGCGTGAATGACAATCAGCTGCAATGATAAATTATAGAAATTCCCTGCTTCCATCCAGACAAACTGTCCAGTGCAGCAACATGCGTCATGACCGACCTTGGGGTCGTGGATGAAAGAATGGCCGGATCGAGCGTTGGGAGGGAGCTCTCCCGTTGTTGCACATTTCAGGCACTCGATAATGGTCTGCATGGATCGGGAAGTGAGCAAATACACACAGCGCAAGAATCGGATTCTGCACAATTGAAATGCAAATGAAGCCGCATGAAGAACAACGAAGGGCTGTCAGGAAAAAAGAGAAGCAGCAGAGCTTGATCAGCTACAGCCTGAACCTGCAATATGTGAATTGACAAAGACGAAGGTGCAAGATATGTTCAGCCTGTTATAAAACGCGACTCCCTTACGGTTTTTCCGGCTCCATTAGGACCGACGATGAGTGTGAGCGGCTTGAAGAATGTGATGACTGCTTGGTTCTCCGGACTGAAGCTCCGGATGCCCTTGATCAGCATCTTATCAACGGTGCACATGGCTGCAAATTCTGACGGCCTTCTGGCCAACTGCCTGCGAATGGCAACTCGGAGTCATCATGAGTTCACACGGATTCACACGGATTCACACGGATTCGGTGCGTGCTTTGAAGAAATCAGTCAGCGATCCAAAGGAATAGACAGGAACGAATACGAATACGAGATAAAATCTTACAATATGCAAGGTTACGTTGTCAACCGGTGCTGATATTGTAAACACTTCGTTAACTTCGATAATTCTGATAACGACCGTAGGAGCGGTTACTGGTCAATAGTGCTGATAATTCTGAACGTTTGTACCGACGTTATAGCAACTGCCGCGAAGCACAGAGATACGATTGCTGAAGCTGGCCTGTCGGCACTCTTCTGTGAATCATGTGTTTCGAATCCGCATTCTAGAGGTACTTGCAGGTCTAGAAGACAGACATACACAACAGCGACTAGACGTGGAAATGTGGCGATGTATTCTTGATGGTGTACCAAGTGCGAAGCAGCTCTTGTCGGAGCCAGGATCATCCTGCGGAACTTTTGGTATGTCCCTCCCCTCCCTAGTAAAACTCATTGAGATTCGTGCTCATCAAGTCTCGAGAGCATCTACGGGCCAGACAATTTCGAGGCGTCGTATAGTCATGCATTCGATACATGGTACAGTAACATTATTATTGCCTTTCAGCTATTTACCTTGTTTGCAAAGCAACCATCGTACTCTTTTGGAAAATGAAATGCAGGAATGGATGAATTCAAAACAATGATTACGCACGTAAAAAATGCACCATGTCGTGATAATCCAGCCGTATGTCCAACGAAATTTCCCAGTAAAGTATGTGGCATTTTCTTGGTAAAGTGGTGGCACTATGTTATGTATGATTGACTACTGTATATTTTTTGTGAGCAGTTCTTTTACGGCTCTATATTGTTATCGGATGACAGGATTCTCACCTGCGAGGTACTGTTTTGTTCGCAGGGATTCAGCAAGATTCTGCTGGTTTTGGCACGAAGCAAACTGGTCCGTTCGATGCAAGATTTTTCTGTGATCTCGAAACATTTGGCGCGAGATTTCCGCAAAACACCAACTGTGCATTCCGACAGCCTATCCCGTTGCTTCGCCATCCAGAACCTGGGGGAACGCTCCGCGAGGCCCGAGTGCTGGCGGACGTTCGGAAATGTGTCAGCGATTTTGGTGGAGCACTTCCGCCACTTCGCGGGTTGTTTCAGAACCAAACGTTGGCCTGGGATTTGGTTACGTCGCTCACGAGTTTAGCGAACCAATTTTGCCCGTGTAGGCTGCTTATACGAGAAATCTTAAATTTCGCGAATTCATTTCGACTCACTATAATCGTTCGTCGTTCCTTTCGCGGAAACCGTCGTTCCGCCACTTTGGCGAACTGAGCGCGCTTTTGTGGCCGCGTGATGCGCCAGCCTAGTCGGTGCGGCTTCCTTCTCCACCACCTGCCCAACCTTGGGATTGGCTGGGGTTTCTCTGTGCTGTGCTGAACCTCGGCTGGGATGGGCAGGGAAGAACCAGATACAGGATACACACACAACCCCTCCCAAACCTTTTCAAACAATTTGAAACATTTATTGCCTCTCTCGACCATTCTGATTTTGCGAACCCGCGCAGTCTGAGCAGAGCAGGCAGTGGTTGAGTTCAGCCCAGGCAGTGAGGCAGAGAGCGAGTTCTATCAACCCATTTTCCAATTCCTCTACTCTCCGCATTTTCGCTCCTCTCCCATTCACCTGCATAATCTCGAAAAGCATTCCAGGCCCACAGATGATTTTCCGTCGTACGCCAGCCATATATGCGTTAGGTCTTCGACTAAGATTGTGAGCCGCTAGCCACCATTGGGAACGAGTTTCGAAGCTAGAAACAAACTTCGTCGTCAGAAGCGTTTCTTCCGTTAGCTGCGCTTTCCTCGTTGGCAGCAGTTTTTGTCGTCAGGAGCTTCGTATTCTACCGTTCTCTGCAGTCACGCCGGCCGTCAGCTTAAATCGCGATAAGAAACGATCTCCTCGTCATCAACAGCTTCTTGCTGCCAGCAGCAGCATTCTCTCCATAAACTTCACGTGCTCTCGTGCTCGGAAAGGAGATTCGACGTTCAGCGATTTCGGCCGTCTGCCAGCAGGGATGTTTTGCAGTTGGTAGCGACGTTCGCCATCAGTAGCAACGACGTTAGCCATCAGTAGCAACGACTTCGAAAGTCCCATCTGCTAACGAGCACGTCTAATCACGTCATCCAAGCTCGAAGCTCGCGACGCGGTTAAGCGGAATTGCCTGGTTAAGCGGAATCGTTTGGCCGAGCGGAATCGCGTGGCTAAGCGGAATCAAGTTGAGGATCGCTTCCGCCTCGAATTAAGCTTTTCCAGCATCAGGTGCGCCGCGGCTGTCGAAATGTTCACATTAACCGCGTTAACTACTTTTCGCCATGTTCTTGATAAAAAGGTTTCTTTAACTTATGTTTTGCGTTCAAATGTGCAGAATCCAATCAAACCGCGCTGAAGCGTGGAGACGAAACCGCAGAGAGGCATGATGGCGTGGAGGCGAAACTGCTGTGGCGAAATCTTAGCACGGAGGCGAAACCGTGGAGGCGAGCAACATGGCGCTCAGCTAATCACCCCTGGCAGCCACGCTCCACCTCTCGCTCGCTGCGTCGCGCAGCAGCACGCCTTCAAGAGCTAAGTGCATTCACGGCCCATTCCAGTCCATGCCTTCCATGTCGTGCCACAGCTAAGTGTCACAGCTAAGTGCCTGCACTTATGCTGTGCCTTTCATGCCTGCTCCCTGCATCCACGCTCTCGCTCTTCCTGCGCGTTGTCACACTGAAGAGACTTCCCTCCCCCAAGGTAGCAGGTTAAAAAAATCGGTATAGCCTCAGGTATTTCATTCAGTGTGGTTAAGCTGGTATGAGGTCTCTTCAGTGTGCGACCGCAGCAGTCTATTTTCATCCACACATCATTTGCACTTGCTACACTCTTCACTCTCCTTCCATTCTGCTGCTCCCCGTCCCCTTCACAACCTGTCCTCTCCCCTCCTTCCCCTCGGCCCTTTCTCTCCCTTTCCAGGTCTGCAACTTCTCATCCCAGCAGGTCGCTCACACGGGAGTGGCAGTGGCGGGGACATGGAGTGCACAGGCAGCAGCTGCTCTCCACCCAACCCACCCGCAGCTAAGTTCCTGCCCTGCCTCTCTACTCTCGTTCTCGGGCTGGGATGGGATGGGAGAGTATCGGGCTGGGTCGTCTGAACCAAGGTGAGCCTCTTTTCACTCCCTGCCTCAGATGCTTGGATCTCTGTTCTTTCTTTCTCTTACGCCGTTGCTTGCTCTTCTCCCCACCATGCTCACTGCTGTCCCTTGCTCCCTGCCTCCCTCTCCCCCCCCCCTCCTTCCCCTCACTCATACAGAAGTGGCAGTGGCGGGGGACATGGAGTGCACAGGCAGCAGCTGCTCTCCACCCAACCCACCCGCAGCTAAGTTCCTGCCCTGCCTCTCTACTCCCGTTCTCTCTTGTTTCCTTTGCTGCATCTCCTGTTTCTTCTTGCTTCAAACGCAAGCCTCTGGTTCAGCCAAAGCTTCAAGCCACAGACCCGTTTTTTCTAAGGTAGATCCCCCCTGGTACAGCAGGTATACTCTCAGGTTAAGCCTTCCTAGGTATATTTCCCCCTTGGGTCTGTGGCTTGTAACCGAGGTTGCACCAGTGGCCCCTCCCCCTCTGCTTCTTCTGATCGTGCATCTCCTCCTTCACCCCCTCGCCTCTCCTCCAGTCACTCACTACTTCTCTGTGAACCATTGCAGGTGGAGGGGAGGGGCGTGGGGGTCAACACCGCCACTTTCTCACGTCTCTCCCGTGTGGCCGTGCAGGTGGCAGTGGTGGGAGGGGAGGGGGGCAGCACTCCACTTGGCTGGGGTGGAAGGGAGAGTATCGGGCTGGGTCGTCTGAGCCAAGGTGAGCCTCTTTTCCCCTCCCTGCTACAGATGCCTCATTTCCCTCACTTCATTTCGGCATTGCCGTTTTTGTCCACTCTAGTGTCTTCTGTTTACTTGACTGTTTCAGTTGATGCCAACTGACCTGCCCCTCCTCTCCTGTCCCTTCACACCTTTTTCCCCCACTGCCAGGTCACGTGGGGTCTGGGGAGGGGGGCAGCATTGCACTCGGCTGGGATGGGAAGGGAGAGTATGGGGCTGGGTTGTCTGAAGCAAGGTGAGCCTCTTTTCCCCTCGCTGGCATGTCTGTTCTTTCCTTCACTCACGCTGCTTCTTCCTCTTCTTGCAATGCTTACTTTCTTTTCTGTCTCCTGCCCTGCCTTCACGCTTCTGCCTTGTCGTTCTCCCCTTGCTCACTGCTCTCCCTTGGTCCCTGCCTCCCTCCCTTCCCAGCAGCCTGAGGCATCATGGCGCTCTGCATGGCTCTGGTAGGTGGAGTTAAGGACAGGTAAGGAGGCATGGGGGTGACGTGTGTGGTGGGTGGGTGGGAGGGGAGCATGGGAGCAAGTGGCCAGTTCACTGCCTTAAGGGCAGCTTCCTCAGGGGTTGTGCCTTGTGGGGTGGGGTGTCGTGGGTGGAATCTGTGCGGCACGGCACTCGGTGCTCAAGTAACCGATCTGGCGTTCAAGGCCTAATGGACCCCGTCAGAGCCGACCGGCCGGCGGCTCTGGTTGGCGTCAGCTGTGGCTACGTCAGGGGTGGGATTTGAGTCTTGGGCTGGAAGCGATTTTCCAATACCACTCCTCGCCCTGCAAGGCACAACCCCCTGGGATTGCTGTTTCCGAAAGCAAGTGGGCTGTCTGCTGGTCCTACTGCTAGCAGGTGAGTATGGGATGGAGCTGGGTGGGGTGGGTGGTGATGGTGGTGAGACGCAGTGGGGTTGGCAGTGGCACATGATGAGCCGTATGGCACTGATGCCACCTGTTGCATGAGATCAGGATGCTGAATTGAGTTGCATGGGATGAGCCATACGGCACTGATGCCACCAGAAGCATGAGAGTGCGCTGTCTGCTGCTCCTACTGCTGGCAGGTAAGGTGGGGAGGGGCTGGGTGGGCTGGGTGTGATGGTGGTGAGTGGCTGTGGGGATGGCAATGGCATGTGATGAGTCGTATGGCACTGATGCCACCTGTTGCATGAGAGCAGCCAGTTTTGGATGTTCAGATTTGAGTGTATGGTGTGGTGGCATCAGTGCCATGTGGCTCATGAGATGTGTGTTGTGAGTGTATGGTGAGAGTGAGAGCAGAGAGTGTGGTCACACTGAGGGGTTAGAGTGGTGAGGTTGGAGTGGTGAGAGTGTGGGGAGATAAGTGACCAGAATGGTAAGAATGTGGTGAGAGTGAGTGGTTACAGTGAGTGGTGAGAGTGCAGTGAGAGTGGGTAGTTAGAATGGCAAGTGGTGCAACAGTTTGCAGTATACCGGGATGTCATAATGGCAGCCGTGGGCATGCATGGGCACACCAAGTATGCATGTTTGCGCTCGTGCATACAAGTGTGTATGGTGTAAAATATTTTCCTTTCCAGAATAAAACCTGAGGTTCTGAGTAAATGGGTGGATTTTTTTATGAAGGAGGTTCGAGGTGCTGTGCCTGCAATGGACGAGGTAGGAGAAAGAAGAGGAGTGGAGAGTGGGGGAGAGGATGGAGGAAAGAGGGAAGAGGAGGGAGGAAGGGAAAGAGGAGGGACTCGGGATGGAGTAGTAGAGGTGTGAGGCATGTTACAATTGTGGCCGCCTCAACTGCCATGCCTTGCCATGGCACGATACGCCATGGCATAGCACGCTGCTCCAGGTCACCCCATGCCACGTCACTGCCTCTCACTATGATGAAAATTGCTGTAGCTAGAGACATGTGATATGTGCTGTGCTGTGTTGTGTTCCTTCATTACGAGTGCAATTGAGCGAACGAACGAGAATTGCACTACCGAAGCAAGACTACAATGAGCGAAGACATGAGCGAAGAATTTATAGCGAAACTAGAGTGATAATGGTCACGGACTGTGGTTGTCGCGTGACGGGCCTTGGAGTGAGGTTGGGAAAAGTGCCGAAGCGAAGGCCCGGGGCGCGGGTTACCCGCCGAGCCGCGAGGTCGGGGTGCGACGTGTGAAGGTGGCGGGAGGATTATCGATGCGAGAGTTGCGAGTGGTAACGGTGCTGACTGTGGTGCTACAGTGGTTTACGCGTTGAGCGGGGACGCGAAGTAAGGAAAATGAATTTTCCTTACACTACACCCCCCCCCCCTAAGGAGGTCCTCCTTACGAAAGTGCGTGTACATCCCTAAAGTTTCGGCTGCGCAGATACTCGGTGAGGACGGGGTGGTTTTCGATTCTGTCCAGGAGATCCCAGTTGTCTTCGGTGGGTGTACGGTCTCTCCAGCATACCAGGAACTTGATCATTCGGGCTCCTCGAGGGTCGGGAACTCTGTGCCTCAGAATCTTCTCCGGGGTGATTGGATCAGTCGGCGGTCGTGTCATGCTGGCTGGGCGATTGCGTGGGAGTTGGCTTGTCGACGGGACGTAGGGCCGAAGTAGGCTTACGCGAAACAAGGGGCTGACGTACAAGTCAGCGAGGAGCAGGCCCCTAGATTCGTTTTGAGGTAGTCTGACTCCTCAGAGTACACCCCTCCTGGAACTCTGTCTGTCAGAGGTGCCTCAAAATTGTAGTCTGAAAATTCAGACAAGCACAACTTTTTTTGTCTGAACTGTCAGAGTTACCCTCAAATTTTAAGATGATGATGCAGTATCGTAAAAGCATATTTATAATAGCATTGAAGTTGATTACAGCATACCAACTCAACTGTGCTGTACGAACCAGTCAGGGTCGGCGGGTTTGCATCAGGCAACGTGCTCGTGCATCGCCTGTCAGAATGAGGAATGGATGTTGCATTGATGTTGGTTGGGGTACATATGACAAACCCTAACTTCTGTACCCCCTAAGACAAACCTCACTACAGGCTACAACATTTGACACACCCCCATAGCCTAAGTGAGGGGTGTCTAGCAAAAACAAAAAAAGAGTACGGTCACAAGACCAGTCCAAAAGAAAACAAAGCTCTGGGTGGATCACAACGTCACCATACACTCTGAGCACAAGCAACAGTGGCCACAAGGCCAGTCCAAGAGATCACAAGTATATATAGTAAGTGTACAAACGAAGCAGACAATAAACTCAAGTCTACGCATGACTAGAACCTGTGTCAACAAGGCCTAACTGCACACAACACCTCTGGTGGTCACAAGGCGGAAGCGCCTTGGTGAAGATGTCTGCAGTGTTGGCCTCGGACTCTACAAACTCGAAGCGAGCCTGTCCACGCCTCTGCAACTCTCGCAGAAGAAAGTACCTGACGTGAATGTGCTTCACTCTGCTCTCCAGTCGCGGCTCACGACAGAGGAGGATCGACGCCTTGTTGTCAGTAAACAAGGTCGGTGCAGAGCTCGGCCGCTCACCAAGGTCAGCGAGCAAGAAGGTCAACCACCGCAACTCCTGTGCCGCCATGGCACCAGCGTAAATCTCAGCCTCAGCTGTAGAGGTCGAGACAGAAGAGGAGCGCGTGGAACGCCAGGAAACAGCTCCAGAACCCAGACTGAAACAGTACCCCTGAGTAGACCTGTGAGTCTCAGCGTCGTCAGCGTAAGAGGAGTCACAGTGACCAGTGAGTACGACAGACTGCTGCCCTCCAAGAACTAGCCCCACGCCTGATGTAGTCGCTAGGTACTTCGCCACCCTCACAGCTGCCGTCCAGTGAACAGGACGGTGTCTCCCTGGCGCAACAAAGCGCGCAAGGATGCTGAGAGGGAAGGCGAGGTCCGGGCGAGTACAAGTCATCAGGTACATGAGGCAACCCACAAGCTCTGCGTAGGGACCACTAGGCTCAAACGGCTCGTCAGGAAAGGGACCAGTGAGTCTGTGGTCAACAGCTAGAGGTGTGCGCTGTACGGTGGAGTGCTGAAGCCCGAACCGCTGAAGGACCTGCTGCACCATGTGTGACTGTGAGAGTGTAATGGTGCGAGCGGCTCTGTCCCTGGTGATCTGCAGGCCAAGGTAGTGGCGCAACTCACCAAGATCAGTGCACGTGTGTCTCTTCTGCAGTTCGGACTTCACGTTTGCCAAAGCAACCCTGTCCGGAGTGGCGAAAACGAGGTCGTCGACGTAAACCAGAACAAAGAACGGTGTGGAGCCACGACGAACGAACAGCGACGGGTCGGCAGAAGACGGCTGGAACCCAAGGTCAGAGAGGGTAGAACGCAGAGTGTCGTGCCACTCACGAGGGGCCTGGCGAAGACCGTAAACAGGTCGCCTCAGCCTCCACTGGGTCCCAGGAGGGAAGGTGCCAGTGAAGGCCGAGGGACGACGCAACCAGACCTCCTCGTGTAGGCTGCCCTGAAGGAAAGCAGTGGAGAAGTCAAGAGAGTGTAACTCGTAGTCTCTCTGTGCTGCTACGTGTAGTAACACCCGAAGAGTGGTCATCTTCGGGGTAGGTGCGAAGGTCTGAAAGAAGTCAACTCCCTCGCGCTGACTGAAACCTCTAGCCACGTAGCGCGCCTTGAAGACCGGGGGAGATCCCGGTGGCCGCTTCACCCTGTAGATCCACATGCCGTCGACTACGTTCGCCCCAGGGGGGGGAACCTCATCGACGTAGGTGCCTGTGGATCTGTAGGAGGCCATCTCTGCGTCCATGGCAGCTCTCCACTGAGAGGCCCAAGGCCCTGACACTGCCTCAGCGTAAGTGCGAGGAGTCGGAATGTCAAGGGCGTCGGGGTCACCCTCAGGGGCGAGGAGCATGGCACAGAGATGAGGGGAAGCGGCCGCCAGGAACTCTAGCTCAAACTGCCTGTCCTCTAGGGCGTCACAGCCAAGGGCAAACACACCCCCGACGGCCAGAGGACTGGTAGGAGGAGCAGCCACAAGCGTGGTGGCGTAGTCAAGGCGGCGGGTAGAGGCAAAGTCAGTAACTGCGGCAGTAAGAACGGACACAGAGGACACAGAGGCACGAGGGTGAGTAACAAGAGAGGCGAGAACACGAGAGAGAACAGGACGGTACGTGCGGTAGTAGTCAGTGACAGGAGTAGGGAGCGACACAGTGAGGGCCGACTCAGGAGGAGACGGAAGCACAGACTGAGACGGACGAGGTGGACTAGAAAGAAGGAAGGCAGTACGAAGGTCAGTGAAGGGAACAGGAGACGAGGGACGAGCACGAGGGGAGCGACGAGTAGCCCAAGAACGAGACGGAGGAGGAGAGGACAAAGGCGGAGAACTGGGGAAAACAGCGGGGGAGGAGTCAGGAGGAGGAAACGTGGGACCGTAGACAGGAGGAGAGGCGGAGGAGGGAGGAGAAGGGGAGGGGAGACCAAGGATCCGAAGACCCGAGACAGGAGGAGGAAGTGGCTGCTGCTGCTGCGGCTGCGACTGCTGCTGCTGCGGACGCGGCTGCTGCTGGGACTGCTGC